TCAGTGGTGAAGGCTCAGGCAGGCTGTATACAAACTACTGCCAGCTGCTCCCTCTCTGTTGGACTTTGGTACTGCATGTTACTTACGCGATTTAGATCTGGGGCTTTTCATAAAACATCCGGGGCTTCAGCCCAAGTAGCCGGGCCTAACGCCGCCCCTGATCCTCAGTCAAAGCATAGCTTGGGGCTGACAGTTTTAATGGACCTAGGGGGCGCTATTTCACAAAATAGGCCACGCCCACCAGAATTTCACATCAGATTTTTTGGGGGGCCGGACTAGGATCACCCACCAGAAGTTTCATGGCGATATCTTTAGACATGACTAAATGGGAGGCAAACGTATGGCCAAGGCGGTACGCCCATCGACATATAAATATTGGACAATGGGTTTCCATAGCCTCCAATAACACGTTTTCGAGGCTAAATGGGAGGTGGCCACCACCGCCATTTTGACCGTGTCACAGGTTCCGTCAAGCCCAGACAATTCCACAAAAGAGAAGGGAGGTGGAGCTGAGGGTGTGGCTGTAAGGCTGAGATCAAGTGATGACACCCGGTCGAACTAGCTACAAGCTAACCTGAAGCTAACCCAAAGCTAATGCGGAGGTGGGAGCTAAGCTAACGGAGGTAGCAACCTAGCTACAACTGGAGTTAACTGTGCACAACACCAGAGCTTCTGAGTCAGAGATACGCTGGGCTCACCGCTGGGTAAAACCGGGTGGAACACAGAGGTCTCCCGAAAGCTGCTGAAAGAGATGCGCCGAGCTGCAGGGAGGGGAGAACGGGTGGAAAACTTCAGTCTCCCGAGAGCTCCACAAGCCGATAGTCGGAACCCAGCTCCACCAACATGTGATATTTCAACCCATTTTCTAAAGTGCAGCATTTTGTTAAATGCACTGGGTTTTACCCTATTACATTTAAATTTCATGGTTGAACAGTACATGTTAAAATCTAAGCTCAGATCGGCAGTGACCTAAAATACATAAATATAATTTTACTTACCGAAAAAAATGAAGTGGAGACTCCTTGGACGCTCTATTAGTGCAATTAATGCCACAGCAATTCGTTTTGTCCAACAATTGCACATATAATGTACAAAAAAGAATACACAAACACAGAGACTCAAAATCCCGGAACAGTTTCCAAGCCAGACCGAGGCTCTACTGAGGCCTTTCCACGGAGCTAGCTCTGTGGTCACGTGGGTCTGATGCTCATTAATTACAGAATTTTAGGCTTTTAATACACTTAGAAGAGTGTGAAAAAAATTCACCCCCTCAGAGTTGTCATGAGTGTAAACTAGATCATTTAAACGAAAAACATGTTTTGGTACCAGGCTGTAAACATGTTTATTTCTGCTGTGAAATTGGTATTTTTAACATGGGAGTCAATGAGGATTTGCTCGCTTCTGGTACCAGCCCCCAGCGGAAGAGGGTGGAACAGCAATTGTTGGTACTTCCGGGTTGGCCTCAATTTTTGAACCGCATTGTGAGGGCTTGGGTACACCTGACTTCGCCGTGCCACCACAGCCCCGCCCTCTGAAAACTCCCATAAAGTGACGCCAAGCAACCCCCACTTGTCTTGAGTTACCAGCTAGAAATGTGGGGTGATTAAGTGAAATGGAGCAATTTGGGACCTATCACAGTAAAGCTTGACCTTTTTGGTCCTGAGGGGCGGGGCTTATGTGATGTCATTATCGGACCATTCAATTTAGTTCGTGAGTGGATGACAAATGACCACAGAAATTTTTATAACTCTATTCCATTCGTTTATGAAGTTATAGCCGTTTACATGTTTTTTGGTGAGTAGTCGAACTTCGAGGCCTGGCCCCGCCCCTCAGCATATACGAAAAGTCAGTTTTATTTTTCTATTTGATTGCTCATCCCTTCTGAGCATTTTCTCACAAATTTCGAGACGATTGTGCGAAAAATGATTGAGTAAATGAATCAGAAGAGGACCCTAGGAAAGGCCAAAATGGTGTCAAAATCACCATTTCAAACCGAAATGGCCGACTTCCTGTTTGAAGTTGACCATGGTTGCAAGAGGCTTTTCTGTGCAGACTGTTGAGTACTACAAGTGTACAAAATTTCATGACTGTATGGCAAACTAAGGTATATGGAGGGGGTATTTTTCACATTCTAGGGGCACTGTGGAGCTAATTTTATTGCGATTTTTTTGGGACCTTTAAAATAAAAAATTTTACACCACGCCTGACATGCGTGCAAAAATTCCTGAGTTTTCAGGTACATTAAGGCCTCCAAAAAGCCTATTTACTTGGCGGAAGAATAATAAACAGAGCAAAAACAAGAGGCCTTCGCAGCGCTTTCGCTGCTCGGGCCTAATAAAGTCTATACATAAAAATTGTCAACGCTTACAAATGCTGGTACTCTGAATGTGAGTTGGAATGGCCTCTTGGAATATTTGAAAAGAAGTGAGAGAATGTCTGCAAGAAGACTTCCAGTTTGGGGGAGCTTTTACATTAAAATCATATTTCCCTACATTTCTGCTGACTCAAGGAACTGTAAGAACAAGAAAATCACTGTGGCGTAGGCAGTAAGATGAGCTGAAAGGTACAAAATGTTGTTTTAGGTACAGCAAATAATTATAGCGGATGCATCTAAAAACAAAATGAAGCCAGTGATATTGATGCCTGGCTGGCAGTGTGAGCCAAGACAGTACATTACACATTGGAACAACAGCAAAGAATACATCAACACATACTGTTGGAAACCACATCATAGGAGTGAAGACCGGTCTCAGTAGTGTTTTGATAAATAATGTCACCATAATCCAAGACTGGTAAGAGCAGCTGAGAAACAACATTTTCCCGACATGGAAGCAATTAATTTTATGATAAATTTATTTTAAACAGAAGTTAAGTTTGTTCATTATAGGTTGTACATGTGCTTTGAAAGAAAGCAACAAACATCTGATTATTTAAAAATTTCAACAGGTTCAAGCGGAGATGTATAAAAAAAAACAAGTTGAGACTATTCCTAGAGTTATTTGTACTTTTCTATGGAACAGCATGGAGTATGATTTCGATTCTTTTAAAAGAAGCGTATGATAGCCATTGTTAAACACAATTAAAATCATGATAAATGACCCGCACTTGTAAAGCGCCTCTCAGAGTAAGGACTCCAAAGCGCTTTACACTACAGTGTATCATTCACCCATTCACACACCCATTCACACACTGGTGGGGATGAGCTACGATGTAGCCACAGCTGCCCTGGGGCGCACTGACAGAGGCGAGGCTGCCGAGCACAGGCGCCACCGGTCCCTCCGACCACCGCCAGCAGGCATGTTGTTGAGCATTTTCTATATTTGTAATAATTGGTTTAGCACAAATAATAGTATAATTATATTAATACCCCCAAGAGGACAAAAAGGATGATTAGGATTTTTTAAGCTTTAAGATAAGAAACTAAAATGTTCCTAAAAGGCTAAATAGCACACAAGTGCAGTAACAGCTTTCAGACACTGGAGGGCAGCAACTCCCCATCTTCCCTTTTTTTCTAAATTTTGTTGGAAACCTGTTGTTCTATTTTTTGCCAGCAGAGGACGCAAATTCCCCTTCTTTCAAGGCAACAAAACAGTGGTGTTTAGAGGAAGTGCTTCTAAGGAACCTTTTAAACTTTATGGATCCATTTTCTTCTTCTCATTCCACTCTTTCTCTTCATTCATATTCATGTTTCTAAGCTAAAACATTCTCTTCTAAAATGGTTAAAAAGAACAATAGCGTAGTAACATCTTTCAGATACTAAGTCAAGTCAAGATGTTGATGTATAAAAAAACTTAAAACCTCCAATTACACAGTGGAAATTTTTTATTTTCACATTATGTCTTAGCAAGCACAGGAGGCCAATCCTTACCAGATAATATTTTGCTAATATTTTATTCAGGATTAGAGATTTTCAGTAGTTGTAGGACTGCTCTAACATACAAAATATGATGCAAAAGCCCATTTGTTTCACTAATTCGACTGAGATCATTTTCCTTTACAGGTGTTCTGGATTCATTAGCTGATTGGTGTTTGGCACTTTGAATATGGAATATTAAACCTTTCCACAACAGTCTAATTGTCTGAGATTAATTTCGGATTTGGGTTTTTATAAGCTGTAAACCATAATGATGCCAATTACAACAAAGGTTTGAAATGCATGGCTTTGCATATATTGAGTGTATCTCATATATTCGTTTCACCCTTAAAGTAGAAGTACTAAAATAAAGTTTTATACCACCTCACAGGCGTTTCTAGCCAGCTTTTGGGGTGCTGAAGCACTCTTAAACTGAATCTGAGAATCCCTAAAGTTTGAGATATATTTATTTATTTGATTATCTATTTTTTCTACTGTTTGTGGTTATCAGTAACCCAATAGAACTGCAGTACTTCTTTACTGTTTGTTCTTTGTATAAGTAGATTTTTACAAGAATTATTTAGTAGAAAAACACCCTCAAAATGTTTTCCAAACACTGTGTATCGATGCGTTGAAAGAATGGGGAAAGTGCGCCCCCCGCGGGCGAAAAAGAGAACAACATTGGTCTCCAACAGCAGTGAGAAGGGAAGATGCTGCCCTCCCATGTCTGACATCTGGTACTACATTTTTTAGCTACAGAAGATAATATTTAGCCTCCAGGAGTATGGTGACCATGTTCCCGTATTTAAAGCGTCACCTGTAAATACATTAGCTATTGGAAGCATTCTAAAGTTTATTGTGAATACGAGTGCATGTCCCAGCTCCTCCAGGGGAATCCCAGTTTTCCCAGGCCAGCTGAGACATATTCCCTCCAGCGTGTCATTGTTATTTTGCGTCAGTGTGCCAATCCATTAGATTACAAGAACAAAACAGAAAAATCACATTTAAGTACAACACTACTACTCCTAATACTTGAAAGTAGGCTCTTAAGCTCAAGTCAGCCCTTTTTTGGACGTTTAGGACAGTATTTTCTTGTATGTTGGTCCTCAATACAACTTTACATAAATGAGTCAAAAAGTCAAACACAGAAGTTTTAGAATCAATTTATTAATTCTTTACCAACTAATGAGAAAATTATTTCATCAACTCAGATAGAGCATAAAACAGTTTTATCAAAATACATCATCATTTTCAGAAACACATAGAAACAGCCATAAATAGTATTTAAAACATGCAGATGTTTAGGGTCAACAGGGTTGTGTGAATGCTTCCGAGTGCCGAAGATCAGAGGCAGAACAGATCTTCCTCTTTTGTTGCACCCTTTCTTTTCCTCGTCGAGGAATCCTTCTGACAGCACAGCTGACACCTGGATGATGTCATCAGCCACAGCTGTAGTTCTTCGTTGACTGGCCTGTAGGGTCGATTAACAAAACACACATTTTGTGTCGAGTCAGATAAGCGTGAAAGAGCTCATTACAATGGTCAGGAGTCATTTTATGTCACATTACCCACACAACCTGATTTCTACAGCAGCCAGGTCAGAGCTTCTTCTCTCCTCTTCCTCAGATGTTCTGTCTTGCCTCGTCATGAAGCCCACTACAGCTCTCATACTCTGGATCCACCTGCTCTTCTTTGATCCCCATCCTTTTGGCATCCTCTGCAAAAACAACAACAGAAAGTTAGAGAATTGCCTAAAAGCTACAAACACCTTAGAATGACTTCACACGCGGGCGTTCTTCTCAGCTGCACATCAACAGCTGGAGGCTGTTACCTTTAGCTAGCTGCAGGTCAAAGGAGTACTGCATCTCCACCACCTCACGACCCACGGCCAGGCCTTTCATCCGGTCACGCAGTTCCTTCAGCTTTATGTAGAAATGCACCTTATCCTGTGCACGAGGGAACTGGGCACAGCGGGGGCTTGATGACGGCATCAGGAAACACACCTAACGTGGCACAACCGGCTCGTTTATAACCAGGAGTACATTTAAAAAAAACAACCACTTCCTGCTTCCACAAACCGTTTTCGTCTCAGGGATTTTGTAGGGTTGAAGGCCAAACTCCAGACTCTTGGCTTTTACGCCAAAGATTTCTTTGCAAAAAATTTCGTAAATACCTAAAGAAGCAGAACAAAAGCTTCAGCTCAGTGTCCTTAATGACCGGTGCGTTAATATTTAGAAGAATTGACCTTTTCCATTAAAAGCTGCTATTAACGGCTTGTATTTCTGGAGCTTGTCAAGCAGCTGCCGGCCTCCCTCACGGATTTCCTTGCTGGTAAGAACAGGACAGCGTATAATATTGGAAGAAGATGCTAGCGTGTGGGAATACTGACGCTGGAAGTGAACAATGATTGAATATTTCTCACCTGGAGAGGTCCTTGCTGCCAGGCGTGGTCCTTTCTACCATGTTGGTAAAGCCGATGCTGTACTTCTCGGGCAGACTATGGTCGTGCATGTAGTTGAGCTGCTGCTCGGTGAGACCAGACAGAAACAGACATTTCCCTCAAAGACAGAAAAAATAAAAACAAACCAATAACCAAATAAATCCATCAACAAACTAGGCAATCATATAGTAAAAGTAGCCTTTGTCCACCTGCTCCGCCTTACCTGCGATCCACCATTACCTTTTTTTATTTTTAGCATTTTAAAATTTTTATTTATTTAAAATTTGTGTCCTTGAGAAGTGTCTCGTGATTTTTATCCTGAGAGGCGCTATTTAAATGATCGTTTTCCTGCTTTTGTTTCATTTCGTTGTTACTCCTCTTCAATGACCTTCCATCAAACGACAGCATTGTGAAAAGCAGATCTATTCTGCTGCTGCAGAGAAGACGGCGGCCCAGGGCAGTGGCATGTCCTGACATACTGGGGTGGCCCAGCCGGGGTACTTGTTAATGTATGGATGGCACATATGATTACGCTTTCTTCTTTCTTTTGTGTGTGTGTGTGTGTGTGGGGGGGGGGGGGGGGGGGACGGACCCCAAATATTTTGCGGACAATGCAAAAGTCAGTTTAAACACAATCCAGTGGGATGGCACCTGGGGTGGTCGATCAGATTCCAGGGGTGGCATGTGCTACCCCATGGACACGCCCCTGGCTCAGGGGTTAGGAGTTGGCCCTGGAATGTGCTTTATATCAGACAAAGATACAATTTTCTAATTAATTATTTTATGAACAAAGGAAAAAGCTATCCAAACCAACCTGTTCCTGTGCGAAACAGGGATCACCATTTAATCATTGAATTAACTGATGATCTGTAAAGATGGGTTTACTTCCACCAGCCACACCCAGACCTGCGGAAGGACTCCAGCAGAACCCGTCTGACACCGCAAAGATCTGCTGCTCAACAAACCCAGAACAACATCTAAAACCCTGCAAGGTCAGAGGTCACGATTCAACAAGAAGAAAAAGAAGAAAGTATCATTTCTATAGTGCCTCTCAAGATAAAAATCACGAGGCGCTTCACAAAAAACAAAATGTAAAAATATAAAAAGGAATTTAGAAAATGTTTAAAAATATATTTTAAATGAGCAAAAAATAGACCATTGTGATTAAAAAAGGTAAAGAAAGAAAGAGAGAGAGTGAATAGGAAAGAGGGAAATCAGTGGATCCTGAGGAAGGTGGAATAGGTGGGGAGAGCAGAATAAAGAGAGAGTGGTGAAGAAGGTCATACAAAAGCCAGCTTGAACAAGTGAGTCTTCAGCTGCTTTTTGAAGGAGACCAGTGAGTCCACTGATCTCAGGCTCAGGGGGAGAGAGTTCCAGAGTCTGGGGAACACAGCAGCAAATGATCTGTCACCTTTGGTCTTTAGTCTGGTGCTGTACAACCAGTAGGCTTTGGTCACTGGACCTCAGGGACCTGCTGGGGGTGTAGGGACTAAGAAGATCACCAATGTAAGATGGGGCTTGTCCATGTAAGGCCCTATTGACCAGATCCAGGATCTTGAAATGAACCCTGAAGTTGACTGGCAGCCAGTGAAGCTGGAGGAGAAGCGGGGTGATGTGGAGAAAGGAGAAGAAGAAAGAGACTAAATGATAGAGTTCAAAGGTCAAAACCTCTGCGGGTCAAAAACGGCACAAAGACTTGTCTCACATTTACCAACAACCCCAAAGACTTCTGGGTAAAGACTCTGTGGAGTGAAGAGACAAAAGCAGAACTTTATGGAAGCCGAGTTTCCCCTTTCATCTGGAGTGAAACTAACACTAAAACATCACCATAGCAACAGTCAGACATGGTGGTGGTAGTGTGATGGTCTGGGGCAGCTCTGCTGCTTCAGGACCTGGACCACCCGTGGTCATGGATGGAACCATGATTTCTGCTCTGTAGCAGAACATCCTAGAGAAAGCCTGACCTTAAAGTGCCCGTTCCATCTCTGATGGTTGAATTAAAAGACCTCTGTAGATAAGAGCGTGACACGATTCCTCCACAGTGGCATTAGAGACTCGACTAGTTACCAGACACCGGATCCAGATGGGGTCAGTTACTTTTCCACACAGGACCCGGTTGGTTTGTAGACATTTGTTCTCCTAATAAATCAGATCATCATTTGAAAACTCCATTCTGTGTTTCCTCAGGTTATCTTTGTGACGGTTTTGTTGATTTGACACATTTAAATGTGACAAAAAGGCAAAACAGGAGAAATTTAATTTCTGTTTAGAATGAATGAATGTTGCTTTAGGTTGGACTGGTCTTTAAATACATTTACTGTACACCGTCAGAATTCTCTGTAGAAGTGGAAAAACCATTCAAACCCATGAATAGAGTCTGTAATATATTAAAGTGAACATCAGAAGGCGCGTTTGCTTCCTGTGTTTGCGAGTTTGGACATACAGAAATGGTTTCCTGGGTTCGGGTAATGATGTCCTTTGAAGGCTGACAACAGTCCTGGGTTGATTCCAATCTGAGGAAATATTGAAGAAATTATTTCAGTGAAATAAAAAATGAATTTTTGCTGTTAAACCAAAACCTAAAAGAGAGCTCATAAATGAATGTTTTGATTATAACTGAACAAATTCAGACATGTTGCATCAGATTCACAGTGAAACACTCACAATCAGAATGTCAAGGTTGTGGGTTATAACATCAGGGAGGGTTTTGGCCATCACTTCGTCCACCGACATGCCATTGAAGCGGTTAAGAGTCCTCTTGGCTTTTTTAGCAGCCTCAGCCTCATCTTCCTCCTCCTTTATCTCCTTGTTGTCCGCCTGCTGTTTAGAAGGTCGACCTCTTTTCTTTTTCAGTGGCGTCAACGCTGCAACAGGAAAGTAAATGAGTCATGACAATAAGTACAAAAACACACCGGAAGGATTAGCATCACTTTAGCATGTGTGGTGGTTCGACTGTAGGCTAACAGGTGTCTAATGCTGTTGGAGATGGCGGAGCGGTACATCAGTAACATTGCATGGGGTCCTACTGGACTTCAAGAGGAAATTTAGTCCAGTCAAAGTTCTTTATCTTTACCCTGAGGGGGGGGCTGAAGCCCCAGCTTTTGTTGCTGGACCGTATGCTGGTGTTGGACCAGATGTTGATGTGGAAGATGCTGATGGACAGTATGCTCATACTGATGCTCCTGCTGGACCATGTGTTGGTGCTGATGCTCCTGCTGGACCATGTGTTGGTGCTGATGCTCCTGCTGGACCATGTGTTGCTGCTGATGCTCCTGCTGGACCATGTGTTGGTGCTGATGCTCCTGCTGGACCATGTGTTGGTGCTGATGCTCCTGCTGGACCATGTGTTGGTGCTGATGCTCCTGCTGGACCATGTGTTGCTGCTGATGCTCCTGCTGGACCATGTGTTGCTGCTGATGCTCCTGCTGGACCATGTGTTGGTGCTGATGCTCCTGCTGGACCATGTGTTGGTGCTGATGCTCCTGCTGGACCATGTGTTGCTGCTGATGCTCCTGCTGGACCATGTGTTGCTGCTGATGCTCCTGCTGGACCATGTGTTGATGCTGATGCTCCTGCTGGACCATGTGTTGCTGCTGATGCTCCTGCTGGACCATGTGTTGATGCATGAGTTGCTGCTGTACCATATGATGATGTGCAGGATGCTGTGGGACCGCAGGGTACCGCTGGTGTTGATGCTCACTAAAGTTCTGCTTGCAGACCTGCTCCTGGTAGTGATTAGCGGCTGGGGGATAGCTGTGGTAAACAGGTCCCTGATACACTGACGAATCCCTTTGGACAGACACGGAAAGGCCTTCCCCTGGTTCTTCAGTGTAACTGTCCATCTGGTGATATGACATCACGTGTGGTGTGTCTGGATGCTGCTGACTGGCCTGGTAACTAGAGATAAAGAAGGAAGATAAAAATGAAGGCACAGGTCCTGTGGCAGCAAAACCAACCCAGATCATGTGTTGGGATGCTGGGCTAGTTGTTGCTAATACACACGGCAAATTCAAAAGAGTTAATTTTGGGGTGTTAAGCAAGAGTAGGGTTAATTTAATACTAAAAGAGTTATATAGTTTATATGTAACACTGACGTAAGTGTTAAAACCGAGTGTTAAAAAAGAACTCCTGAAAATCTAACTCTGAACTCCCACGGTGGCTAGAACACCTGCAGAGTTAATTCGGGAGACTCCACCCCTTTATTCTAAAAGTTGGACCGTAGTGACCATAGACATTTATATACAATATATTCATGTATTTTCAACACACCCATTCAACACATGTGGCTTAGTTTCATTTAGATAAGTAGCTTATGAATGGTGTTATTTAGTTTTGCTCATCAAAGTTTGCATTTGTCTAAATGCAACTTTCTTTTTACCAAATCTGCACACTGCTTTATGTCTGCAGAGGCAATCTAGTGGAATACCAGATTATAAATGTGGAAGCATTGATACATTTATTTGGTTAAGAAATAAACTGAGAGACCACACCGCCCATGTGATAATTTTATATCTTGTTTATCAGCTTCGTCTTCACCTGTTACAGTTGGACTTGTTTTACTTTCGTGGGTTCGAACATTGAAAGATCTCTTGGAAGCTTTAAACCTTTATAATGTGTTTATTGTTCACTCCCTGCATCTTTTGTTTTAAACTGTTTTAGTTTGGCTTAAAAATCTCAAGTACCTCCTTTCCTAGGTGATTTCCTGTATAAACACACAAAGAGTGAAATATTGTTACTTTAAAACTGTTTCATTAAGATCTGAAATTCAGCAAATTTTTTGATTAATTGACTGTTTTCTACATGTTTTACTTGTTATACGTATAATGGTAAACAGAATGTTTTATCTATTTATTATTTAGCTTGAGACCACTGTTCCTTTACACTTTAAATAGCAACGTACAATTTATTCACTCACGGTGGAAAATAATCAGTAGGAAATAAGAAAATGACGTAAAAACTCTGTAGAGAACATAAATTATACCAATAACACAAACCCGTTCTTGGTACAGTGTGAAGATGTAGCACGCGAACATGTTAGAGAAAATATAGATGAACGAAACACAGATGCATAAATATGTAACATACCTGTCGTACATTTTCTCCCGTGTTTTGAATAAGAAAACAGAGAAGTCTCAAAACAACAAAGACCATTTCATTTAAACGTTTCTCTGAATTGGGTTTACTGATTATTTATCGCCATCTAGTGTTGATGAGGTGCACTGCAAGCGTGGACCCTGCTGTTTTTAACGCTTTACATTTTAATAACTGCTATATTGTACGTTCGGTTGATTAAAACAATTCAAACCACATCGTTCTGCTCAATATTTCAAACACATGGAAGCTCAAAGGATATAATATGGCTTTAATCCCGACAGCATGAATTCTCACCACCAGACACTAAGTGGCAGCAGACCAAGACTTTGCGCATGCGCCTCCTAAATTATTTACGTAGAAGAAGGGTTCTATCAAAGATCGTAAGTTATAAACAGATGTTCCAAAATGAAAAACCCAAACAAACACACACAAAAAACATAAACAAAACAACGAACCGACACCTGATTAATCTCATTCAAGAACTTTACGATAAGATTATTATTTTCTTGTGAAAAAGTTTTAACAGTTTAAAACGAAAGTAGACAAATGCCCACTGCTAGCTTCAGAAGATGTTTAAATCAGCGTTTGTCTCAGAGTCACTTGTTTTTTTTTCCTTCTTAATTTTAATCCAGAATTTAACCTGCACCTAAACATTTATCTAACTAAAGTGGAAACGCATATAACTACATAACGAAATCAAAGAACAAAACATTTGATAAGAAACAGACGTGTAGGGATGCACAGCGAGACCTCTCTACTTTTTAGAATCATGTGTTAGCTAACAGCACTACATGCTCGCGTGTCTCACAGACTTCAGATTGTGAAAATAGCTTAACGTAGAAGGCGCTTTTCATTTATTTATAGATGTCGTAACCAAGGTAAGACTTCATAAGCTTTGCTTCAGGCCAGTTTGTCTGTTTATTTATCTATATGTGTATATCTGACAAACACAGGGCACTAATGTACACACATCATATATATTCGTCTGTTAAAAAAAACATGGAACGATTGCCTAGATAACCATTACAGTTGAATCTCTATAAAGCAACTCAGCCTTAAACCTAAATGACGTGTTCTTAAGAAATACTGTGTCCAGTGGTGCACCTAGAAAACTGTCAGATAGGGCCAGAGAAAATTAGGAGGTGGCTTACAAAAAATGGTACCTGTGGGAAAGTTTAGCTTGTAGCTGTGTATTGCATTGCTCCTTTATTATGTTTTATTAAAAAAAAAAAGGATAAAAATTAGACTTATGTATTTAACACGGGGTGGGGAAGCCTAATTCTGAAGGGCCGCTATCCTGCATGTTTTAGTTCAGTAGTAGACATGGCCGCCCTGGCCAACCATTGGGGGCACCACTGACTGTTTCAAGCATTGTGTTTACAAAAGGAGTGTAAATGTTTGTGGTGCGTTTACATGCTGCCAGTAACCCTTTTAAAACCTGAATATTCACAATAACCCGGTTCCGCACGGCCATGTAAACACTGCCAAAAACCCGGATATGCTCATAACCGGGTTTTTAAAAACCCGGATATGCTCATAACCGGGTTTTTAAAAACCCGGTTACTACACCTGGGGTAACCCTTTTCTAACCCGAATGTTTGGTCGTGTAAACGCATATCGGGATATCCCATCGACATAATATACGTGGACATCTTCTTTCCATAGGCTCCAATATCACTTTTTTGAGGCCAAATGGGAGGTGGCCACCACCGCCATTTTGACCGTGTCACAGGTTCCATCAAGCCCAAACAATTCCATAAAAGGGAAGAGAGGTGGAGCTGAGGGTGCGGCTGTAAGGCTGGGATCAACTGACGACACCCGGTCGAACTAGCTACAAGCTAACCTGAAGCTAACCCAAAGCTAACGCGGAGGTGGGAGCTAAGCTAACGGAGGTAGCAACCTAGCAACAGCCGGAGTTAACTGTGCACAACACCAGAGCTTCTGACACCAGCCCCAGCGGATGAGGGTGGAATTGCAATTTTTGGTACTTCCGGGTTTGACTCAATTTTAGAGCTCCGTTGTGGGGGCTTGGGATATCCCCATCAAAGCGTGTGTTCTGCGCATGCTCTGTTCGCAAGGAATCTTGGTCTTTTGAGTAGCGAGACGTCTTGTATGCGCCAGAACACCGGAAGTAAACAACAAGTTGGGAGCAACATGGTGAGTCGCGGCACAGCACCACACTTTTGGAGTGACGAGGAAACCTCTGTCTTCATCTGTCTGGTGAAAAGTATGAACATTGTGTCTTTTGTTGACGGCCGAAAGTACAGAGACAGCGAAATGTACAAGAAGGTAACCGCATATTGCGTCTTGACGTAGTCCATACGTCCTGACGCTACCCCAACGTCCACATTTAAATCGGGTTATGCAAGTTAGGGGTTACTTTCTATTTATGCTTGTAAACGGGTTATTCTGATCAACTCAGAAACCCGAATACCGACCTTAACCCGATCATAACCCGGATATTGGCTGCATGTAAACGGCAGCCTCGCCTCTGTCAAAGCGCCCCAGGGCAGTTGTAGCTACACTGTAGCTCATTACCACGTTTGTCATGTTTGTGTGAATGAGTGCATGGGTGAATGACTGGTTAGTTGTAAGGCGCCATGGGGGGTTGTAGAACCCTAGAAGATAATATAAATACAGGCTTTTTACCATTCACCATTTACTCTTGCATCTTCCTTTTCTCCAGGTTGAGTGAGATCACACCAGTTTGTAAAGATGCCAGCTGGAGTGTCGTGGCCTCGGTACATCAGGTTGTTTGGTGCCAGTATGTTGGCCATGTTTGCAGGAGCACAGGTGGTCCACCAATATTACCTACCTGATCTGGTGAGGGACAACATGAAGACCACTTAGTTTTAGGGTCATGCCCAGTAGATGTATTGCTAAATGATTTCATGTAAAGATACACCGAAACACTGTGTCTTACTAATAGTACTGTTGTTTTCTGCAAATGTTCTTATTGTTCTTATTGTTCTATCAGATTTGATCTAATCAATTCATAACATTTTACTTTTGCCACTCTTTTAGGGTTTAATAAACTATTAAAGTGAACTTGGATTTATTTTATATTTCAGAGTGTACCAGAAGTCCCGCCAAAGCCCGGAGAACTCCGGACAGAACTGCAGGGCTACAAAGTCAGAGAAGAAGCTGCTGCCGCCGCCCTAAAGAAGCTTAAAAATGAACAAAATGTGGACTGATGTAAAATATTTCTGCTTACACTTGAAAGTTGAAACTGTGTGAGGTCAGAGCTTTCTTAAATGGATGATTTCTCTTATAAGTGAATTCAACAAAATGCCACATTTTACATTTAACTGTCCAGGACAACGTTTCCATCTGAAGCTTTGCTACTTTTACATTTTTCATCATTTTCATCAAAAATGTTTTCACACGTTGGTCAGAGACTAAAGAGGTTGTTTTCTCCTAGAAAATAAAAGGTTTCATTACATTAAAATATAAAAATAAAACAATTGTTGTATTTTGTAGTTTATTCAGTTTATTGCAGCACTTTGTAGCTTTGATCTAAAATAACATCTGTTAGTTTGAGCTGTTTTTCTGTCCCGTTTATGCAGTTCTCTGATTAAAAGCTTGATCAGTATTGTGCTCATAAGGAGCCAGGCTGTTGTTGACAGGCAGAGCCTGGGGTCACTGTCTGGAGTGGTGCTTGATGGTGCACCTGGTGGACGTTTTGTTTTTGGTGAGTAGGTGATGGGGAAGTCAACTTTTACTGACTGCTTAAACTTTGACCGCCTTTTTTTCTCTATGAAGGAAACTTATGGGTTATAGTTTTAACTCATGGATCTCCCATTTATGCTATTATGGGGCATCAGTGCTTGGGATCCCCAAAGCTTTTGCTTGGAAATAAACTTTTTTTTAAATTATTATTAAAGTAAATTAAAACCAAAACATTGGACTTGAATCAATCAGTGGGCATGTCTACATATTCCCCTAATTAGCATCTTGGCGACTCAAGGATCAGACAGTTGCCACAGACTAATCAGCCTGGGATCATTTTCTAAAATTATCCACAAAAATGAAACTTGTAGAGGGAAAATAACCTTTTTTAGCAGACTTGATCGATTTTAAGAGCTAAAAATAAAGGCTTGCCTTTAAATTAAAAAAGTAAAAACAAATTTCCTGGAAAAAAATTTAACAAATTACAATTTCTGTCCACCAAACTCCCAATTCATATGCTTGATAATATACCCTCAGGGCATAGCAGCTTGAGTGTTTTCCTTTTTATTCCAAACCCTTTCCATAAATATAGAAATGATCCACGTAGGCTGCCATAGTTTGTTGTTTAAGTTTTAGCCAAATAAACCCCTCTTTTCAAAAGTTCGATCTCGAAAAAACCTTTCACGACGTATGACGTTATTAGATATGCACGTGCCGTCTCCATAGCAACATACTTAAACAGATTTAGGAAACATGGCGAGCCAGCGTGAGCGAGATGCTACGGATTATCTAGAGAAACATAAAATATTAGAGCTGGTGGAAAACCTGACGTCCATGCTTTTATTTCACAAGCCTGGTGAGAGCTTAATTTTAACTACTCGAGTTTTTTAGGTCGAAGAACAGATCCACAGTTATTAGCGTTCTAGCTAACACGTGACGTTACTAAGAGAGTTTTAACCTTAACTAATTTTACTTATTAAATAATTTGAGGGAAGCGACAAACCCAATAGTTTAAATATGTATTGCACCGGAGGTGGAAGTTAAATTTAAAGCTTCACATTAACATCAATCTTTAATGTAGGCTATAAACGAAGAGCATTAAAAAATAGAAATTAATGATGGATTAAAGCCTTTGTTTTGTTTTACTTTGTTGTGTTTTTTCCATTCCCTGTTTTATATTTTTATTTTTTTAATTTATTCTAAATGGAAATGTGTAAAATGGTGCAGAGGCTTAAAGTTTACACTTTAGACTACCTCCATTTGAAATAATGTTGACAATTGTCTATTTTTTAATGTTTGAAATACATAAAAAAACACAAACATTTTCTCCGTGGCCACGGAGATGATAATAAAGATAATTATTATCTTATAATAATAAAGATAATAAAGAGCCTAATTTCTCTAAATCATCATTAAGCCTGTTTGTTTAATTTAGTTGGATAAAAGCATTTAAAATATGAAGGTGACAATAAGAGTATTTATAAATCATTTCATTATGTAATGTTTGATGTTTGTTTCTCAGAGAATCCCAGAGAGTTTCTTGTTGAGCAGCTGGAGCAGCTGAAGATTTACGGATCAGGACCAGAACTGTTCAATAGTTCTAATGTGACTGCTGTCCTCAGGATACTGGACCCTATGAATAAACAATATATAACCTTTGCACAGTACAAGCATGGTGAGTGCTGCATGCAGTGTTGGGTAGTCTCTGAATACATGTATTTAGAATACTGAAGATGAGTAACTGTATTCATTTACAGTTACTATTATAAACCATGGTATTTAGAATACAACTACTTTCATAATACAACTGAAATACTTCTGCATTGCACTTTCCACTCGAAACATGAATAAATAAATTTTGGGCAACGTGTGACTGCGTTGTGTAGGCTATCTATCCCATAATGTCCCTAAACAATGTGCCTCTGTAACATTGACGTAATTTCACTTTAAAAGTGGGGGGCACATTGGGGGGGGGGGGGGGGGGGGGTCTTTACAGTATGCTCTAATGGGAAACAGGCTTGGAAAAAGTGGGGGGGACATGCCCCCCCCCCCCAAAAAAAATTACGTCCATGCTCTATAACCATAGTAACGCTATGGCTGAAATCATGAGAAGGCTACACCCCTGACTAGCAAGCACCAGTGTTAACATGAGTGACCATTCAGACCAGGAGGTGGAGTGAGTGAAGCCACAGTCTCAGCCAAATCAACCTTACTAACAGTGACAGATAAAAATGCATTCACTTCCTAGAAATTCAGGCAATTTTTCACTCTAGAAAAGTAGCAAAGTGCGCGGTCTCCCAGCTAACAACCTATTAGCTGCATCCAAAGACTCAATGTCTAATCTGAAAATACACCTTAAAGAGATATTCCACCCCAAAGTGAAATATTGTCTATTATCGTATTTCCCATAGTTAGATAAGTGAGAAAAAAGCATTTTATAAGCAGCGTAGTAATTCTCCAGATCTGGCAGCAGTTTGTTTGCTTTTGCCTAGCTTAAAAAAATGGAGTGAATGGGAACTAGTAGCATTTTGGTTGCAAATGACTCAACAATCATACCAGTTATTCCTGGTGAGGTCAATAATCATGGCGACTGCAAATGAAAAGTAAGAAGTAACATGAAGGATTTGCAGGAGCCAATATTCGAGTGTGTTTAACAGAAACCAGAGGCTTTTCTACCTCTGTGTTACATCCATGCACCATGCAGCGGCGGCTTAGGCCCAATCTCAATACTCGCACTGTGCTCTTCGGTCTTCAGTAAAGTGAACTTGGAGAAAGTGCGCTGTAAGGTTTCGAGTGTGTAGTACACAAGTGTGCAAATAATTTCAGAATAGGGAGCCTAAGTCACTTCCGCATCATGGGTCCCCGGAAGAACGAAAAAATAAATGCAAGTCAATGGGCTAAAAATGCTATTTTCTAACTCCGCTTGTTTTGTGCCATGTATTTCACGTATGATGTCCGTGTATTTTAAAGACAAATTCTGATACCAAGAACGCGCAAATTTTCGAACAGGGGGAAATGCTATTTTAGATTTTGTGTGAAAATAAGTCCAGGACTACAAATGTGCTTCACGAAAGTGACGTCATCAAATCAGACACGGAGAAAACTGAGGGAAAAGGGCTGTAAGTTCAGCAAACTTCCAACAGGAGGAAAGAACCACCATAAATCTGGCCATGTGGTAAGTAGCAGCTACGCTAGGGGAGAGGAGATTATGTGGTGACCTCACATATGCGACATGCCGATTTCTAGTTTGTAGTCATGCTAATTATAAAACTTTTACAAGCCAATAAATCTCAAAGTACGTGACTGGCGCGGTCAAAACACCCATCATTACTTTTCATTTAAATTGCAGCACAACATATGTGATCCAGGGCGTAAGGCAAAGCAGATTAGAAAATAGCGTTTTTAGCCCTGTGCTCGCACCCCTGGTCAGGATCGCACAATTGAAGGGCGCAAGGGTGGAAGTGCGAGTATTGGGATTGGGCCTTACAGCAGTGTTTGTTGTATTTAGGTGTTTTATTAGGCAAGCATTAATGTAATGAATGTTCTGAAAATGTTGCTGTGCTAATACAGTAGCAGCACTAAGAAAACGTTCCTCTATTTTAATCAAACAATTGGGTGTTCTTTTTAAAGTCCTCAGCTCTAAATACTTCACTATTTACATTATAAAGAGATGTAAGGTTTGACCTGAACACCCTGTGCACCAGCATCACATGTAATGTTTTTATTCACAACATAGAATAACTCGCATAAAACTTTGTGTTGATCCGCTTAACAAAGCCTATGTGCATTTTCAGTGTAACTAAACTAAAAGCTGTGTGATCTAACTAAGATGCGTGGACTATTTGTTCCAGCAGCTCTGACCATGCTTGGCATCAAAGACATCAATGAATGTCCTGAAGGAGTGAATGAAGACAGAATATCTCATGAGACATTCAGAACAGAAGTGTAAGTGCAACTTATGAAATCTAACCAGCATTTTAACGTGTTTTACATTCATCCTTTTGTAATTTCTTTTCTGTTTTTTACTTTTACAGGATGAACTCTGCCACTTATGCTCAACTTTGAAGGGCTATGATATTTTCCAAGTCGTGTTAGGCAGATATGGGTTTTGTTGACATTTTTCATTCATATTATTTTTTGCTATAAATTTCTAATGCAATGTGTTTTGTTATCGCCAGGTTAAATAAAAAGATGTAGCACCATCTGAAGACTATCTAAAAGCATTCTGCTCTGTTTCATGAAGGTAGTCTTGTTATTTTAGCCATTAATAGTTCAGTTAAAATCCCAAACACTGTTTACTTCATGTATCAGGGGTTAAATCCACTTGATTTCAGGTGCATGCCACCACGTCTCCACTCTGGGAAATTGTTTTATTTTGTAATTGTTATGAGTGTCACTTGAATAATTTAACAATGCTGCAGTTTCATAATCATGAAAAGCAACAATGAACGCAACTTTAAAGGAAACCAAAGGAGTTTGTTAATAAAAAGCTACGCCTTCACACTTATATAAGGTTTTTTTTCTTTCAGTTACGTTACGTAGGTTATTGGAGAATACGTAACATAATGGATGCCAACTTTTTATTGTGCTGCGTTGTTTATTTTTAATTTTTTAAATTATTTTCATTATTGTGCTGCGTTGTTTTTTTTACTTTATTAATTTTTTTATTATTGTGCTGCGTTGGTTTTTTATTTTATTTTATTATTTTTTTTATTATTGTGCTGCGTTGGTGTGTTGAATGCGCACCAGCAGAAGGCGTGGTCAGGAAGTGACGCCATCGTCGCCACTCCGGTGACTTGGAGGTTATTAGTTTTTGTTGTTTTCAGAGTGAAACTTTCGTCCCGGACAGTGGAGCTCATCATGGGCACCGTCCATGCCAGGGTAAGGAGCCGTGCAGCGACGACGTTAGCTCGGACTTTGACCTCTCTGAGTGCTCAGCGGGAGTTGAATGATTGAAAGGCCCATACAGAGGCTCAGGGCTCCGGTGTGCTGCTATCTAATCAGCCCTGGTAGTTGTGTGTTAACGAGGTTAATGAAAGTACTCCTTACTGAGGTAGTAATTCTACAGTTGTGTATCTTTGTTTACTGAGGTTCTGCTGGTGGCCACACACACTCGGCATGTATAAAAATAAAAATAACTGTTCCCACCAAACGTGATCTAGTGTAAAACGCACATATTATTTACTCACTAATTAGTTTAATTTTCCGTCATTTTTAAGTTTGTCATAGTCCTCATTCTTACATGATTCTCTTTAATTTAGCATTAAAATAAAAAATTTAATGAGAATGTTTTATTTATGCAAATTACCTTAGTATTGCACAGTCGCAGGTCTCAAAAGTCCAAATATAATTTAAATCATTCTATTTCAGAATCAGTAGTTACAGTATTGTGTGTGTGTGTTTGCCTCATTTAGCAGAAATGGTAAATAAAAAACAAACAAAAAACAAATGGGCTTAAAACATTTTAAATAGGAGTGCACCGATTGCAGTTTTTGGCCGATCACCGATCTTGAGAAAAACCTGACTTGCCGATTCCGATTTTCTCTTAACTAAAAGTAGATTTTGTCAATGTTTCACCATCCTTTTATTGAGAAAACTAATATGAATACTCATGAAACAATACCAGTTTCAAATGGACATGAGTTAATGTTCTCAAATATAAATTAATATATTTAGCATTGTTGTTTGAACTACAAAATCATGTTTGTTCCTTTAGACTTTCATTTTTCTAGTTTTGAAAACAAAATTTTTTTTACCTGTTTTGACACACTTGTAAAAAAAATCTACAGCAATGGTTTGCTTTAACACTAACTAAGGATGCACCAATTGCAGTTTTTGGCTGATCACCTAGCCTAGTGAACTAGACCAAATTCTTGCTTTGCAAAGTTTGGTCTAGGCATGCTCCATTGGAACCTCAGCAGCTCCTACCAGGACTCTGGCTAGCCAATCACAGCTCTCTAGAGGGGTTTCAAACACATAAAGAGCTGTGATTGGTCCATAATGGTGGGCCAATCATAGTGCTCTATCTGCTTAGTGAACAAATCACAGAGCTTTATCCGCTTTGTGGGCCAATCAGGGCACTCTATATGCCTGGTGGGTGGGATGATGCAACAGAGTGAAACAAGAGTATGTCACATTCATTGTCCAGTGGAATGCGGAGATCATTTGAAAGACAACGGTAGAACCCGCCCCACAACCGAGAGCCGTCAACTGATCACCGATCTTGGAAAAAACATGAGATTGGGGTCAATAGATCGGTGCACCCCTAATTTTTAACACTGCACATTTTTTTCAGTTTCACAATACTTTTTACTCTTAAAATTAAAAAGATTCTGATTTTCACAAAGTCACTTTTTGTAATTTATATATAGTTTAGAGCAATTCTACTGAACTATGTTATCTTAAAGTGGTGAGCTGATTCACCATTAAATCAATCCATCGCGATGTGACGTGCCAATTCATTAACGATTAATAAAATTATTTCTGCCTCTCCAGCCACTTCCATAAAAGAATGGTGCCACTTTGCTGCAAAATGGAAGTGGTATCTAGAAGCTTTTAGTCATTTATAAGTGGTCAGCCTGTGGCATTATTGTGGTGCGGCCATGTGTTTTGTACAAAAAATTACACAATGATGATGGTAAATGGGCATGTGATGGACTCTGTGCTGTCACAGACTTCCTTTTAGCTTGGACGTACCTTGTTTTATATGTCGATTGAAGCAACGCTCCTTAAGTTTTTCACAAGCTGCTCCAAAAGGTGGCTGTCCTTCACAGTCCCATATGAACTGTCTGGTGATCTGTGCTTCAGCTCCAAAGGCCAGAAGCTCCAGGGTCTCTGCATCACTCCATTTTACCGTCTCCACTGATAAAGTTACACAAGCGAAACTGATTGCTTTTGTTTACTTGTATTTTCAGTATTCACGTTTTTCTTGTAGATTTCATGTCAAAGTATGTAGGGTATATTTTAAATTTTCCATGAATAAGATAGTGGAATAAAATATATTTGGTAACTTGATTTAATGTGTGCTAAATTAATTTGAAAGTATGAAAAAAAGCGCTATTTTTCACTATTTGTTATATTGCAGTTGTTTAAAAAAATTTCATTTTTTTCCTCATTAATGTACACACAGCATATTGACATTAAAAACAACAGAATTTTTAAAATGTATGCAGATTTATTAAAAAAAACTTTCTTCTAATCATCCTTGAGATGGTCCTACACCTTCATTGGAGTCCAGCTGTGTTTGATTATTCAGATTGGACTTGAATAGGAAAGTCACACACCTGTCAATATAAGACCTTACAGCTCACAATGCTTGTCAGAGTAAATGAGATTCACGAGGTCAAAGGAACTGCCTGAAGAGCTCAGAGACAGAATTGTGGCGAGGCACAGATCTGGACAAGGTTACAAAAACATCTCCGCTGCAAAGGTTCCTAAGAGCACAGTGGCCTCGATGATCTTTAAATGGAAGACATTTGGGACGACAAGAACCTTTCCTAGAGTAGGCTATCTGGCCAAACTGAGCTATCGGGGGAGAAGATTCTTTGCGAGGGTGGAGAACCCAAAGATCACTGTGGCTGAGCTCCAGAGATGCAATCAGGAAATGGGAGAAAGTTGTAGAAAGTCAACCATCACTGCAGCCCTCAACCAGTCTGGGCTTAATGGCAGACTGGCCTGTCTGAAGCCTCTCCTCAGTGCAAGACACATGAAAGCCTGCATGGAGTTTGCTAAATGTCACCTGAAGGACCCCGAGATGCTGAGAAATGAGATTTTGTGGTCTGATGAAACCAAGATAGAACTTTTTGGCCTTAATTCTCAGCAGTATGTGTGGAGAAATCCAGGCACTGCTCATCACTTGTCCAATACTGCCCCCACAGTGAAGCATGGCGGTGGCAGCATCATGCTGTGGAGGTATTTGTTAGTTTCAGAGACAGGATGACTGGTTGCAATTGAGGGAACGATGAATGCAGAATACAGGAATATCATTAACAAGAACTTCTCCAGAGTGCTCAGGTCCTCAGACTAGGTCGAAGGTTTACCTTCCAACATGACGATGACCCTGAGTACACAGCTAAAATAACGCAGTGGCTTCATGGCTAATGTGGGCAATGACCGTGAAGCTTAGAGTGGTATGGTTGAGAGGAATGCCCCCTGAACATCTGAATCCATGTGGTGTTTTGTTATTGGACTTCTGTGCGTGTCATGGACTGTCCATAATGAACAGCAGCTCTAAATTTGAGACTATGATCTTGAGTCAGAAAAGGGCGATTCCCCTGGTCAGGAACGAGGTCTTGCCCCAAGGGGAGGAGTTTAAGTATCTTGTGGGCTTGTTTACAAATGAGGAATAGAGATGGAGATCGATAGGTGGATATGTGCTGTGTCTACAGAGATGTGTTTGTTGTGCTAGTCTGTTATGGTGTAGAGTGCTAGGCCGGAAGGTGAAGTTCTTGATTTACCAGTCAGTCTAAGTTCCATCCCTCACCTATGGTCACAAGCTTTGGGTAGCGACCCGAAGATACAAACAGCCTAAATGAGTTTTCTCCACAGGGTGTCTAGGCCAGGCTATCCTTAAAGGGGCAGAATGTGAGGCCATATTTACCTTGTTGTTGCTGAATAAAGGCAGCTTGGATGGTCAAATATAGCAAACTATAACGTCAAAGTCGTGTCTGAGCTGCTTTCTGTGTAAACTGGTAATCTTGTAAAGGCAAGGGTGAAACAGTTTGTTCTGAGAAAAGCCAGTTTATGATGTAATTAGCAAGCCACATCCACTTACTTCTGCATGTTCCAAACAACTTCAGTGTCAGGAGAATATAAACGCTGGTTGTAATAATGCTAACCAACAGCACTAGACTGGAATACCGCTAGCTCTAGCCTGAGCTGCTAGGGCTAGGCTGAGCCAATGCTCATGTCCATGTGGACACAAGAAAAACAAGGAAGATTGTTGAAGCATTCATGTTCTAGGATGCACTGGGACACTTCATGTTTGTCTTTAAACACAACCCTGCCGGACAGTCACTTGGTCAAACACTTACTTCCTCGCACGTCCCTGCTTCACAACCGGCGAGTCAGTCACTTCACCAGACATTAACTTTGATTATTTTTTTCTTTTTCCTTAAATAAAAAAATACAAACTTTAGATCTATGATGCTATCTAACATTTATGGGTATCACACCAACATTCTTTTCTGTTTGCCTGGGAAAACACTGTGTGTACTACTTGCCATTCTAATTGCTCTTTTCACATCATATTGTTTTTCTAGAGCCTTGATCCTCTGCCCATGCAGGGGCCAGAGTTGGGAATTCAAGCCGATGACATTGAAGCTCCAGAGGTTGAACAGGAGCCAAAGCAGGAAGTTCTTGAAAACAAAAATGTAATAAAAGACTTCAATTTTTTGAGATTTGAATGAACGCTGTCACATTGTCTCATTTAAAAAGTGTTTTGGTATCTGTGTGTCTTTTTTTCTTCTTAGGTTGTGGTTCAGCGAGTGCACATAGATGGACTTGGACGGACTAAGGAGGACTTGTTGACCTATGAAATTGCAGAAGTGTTCAGAGCAAATAACTTGATTGATGTAATCCCAAATTAATTAGACTAACTTTTAATGCTTGTGTTGTTTATTTTGTATGTCCTTCAATAATATTAAATGAATTCTGCAGGTGATGAGAAAGTCCCATGAGGCCCGACAAAAGCTGCTGCGTCTCGGTATCTTCAGAAAGGTTGAAGTCAATATTGACACCTCACGAGGTAATGTTAGACATACAATTCTCAGAATAGAATTAGGTACACATCTGTTTTTTTAAATGGTTGTATTGCTTGTTTTTTCTCATTGTACTTAGGTGAAGATGCTCTTCCTAACGGTCTTGACGTGACCTTTGAGGTTACTGAGCTAAGACGTATGACGGGCAGCTACAACACTATGGTTGGAAACAATGAAGGGAGCATGGTTAGTACTTTAATGGCTCCCATTTTTGATACATACAATTTTAACATATGACCAAGTAAGCAGAATTAAGAATATTACGTATTAAGTAAAACTCACTTTTTGCATCCTTTTGTTGCTATATGTATTTATAAACACTCCAAGAAGTAAAACCATTCTAACATTTTCTGTCAAATGTTGATTCCAGGAAGTTCCTTTATTGTGATGTCACAATAAGGAAAAGAAGCATCTGTTTTAAGTCTTTAAAATACCACATTTATATAGCTAATGGTTGTAGTCATCTGAGACACAATATTGATCAAGGGTCCAGTTAAATTTTAATTGAAAGAAAATATTCATTTATTTCACTCGTTACGATCATCCATTCAAATAATTATTTTGTAAAAATTTGGATAAAATTTTTGGATCAGCATTGATTTTTCTGTTATTTAGGTTCTCGGCCTGAGGCTTCCTAATGTATTTGGTCGGGCAGAAAAACTGACATTCCAGTTCTCCTATGGCACCAAAGAGACATCCTACGGCCTGTCTTTCTTTAAACCTCAGCCAGGACACTTTGAACGCAAGTAAGACATGAGTAGTTTCATCAAACAATTTAATTTGAGATTGAAAAAAGAAAAATTTTTGTTCATTAACACCACTTACTCAAAGACAGGCTCCTGCTCAGTCACAATGTTCAAATTCTACATGTATAGGTGTAACTCAAATTTGAATCACATGCAAAAGTTTATTTAAGTCTGCATAAAAGGTGAAACTAATATATGAGATACTCATTACATGCAAAGCCCAAAATGTCAAGTAGGGACGTTACGATCCGATCATGTGGTCGGAAATCGGGCCCGATCATGTGATTTTAAAAAGATCGGAATCGGGTGAAAAAGATCGGCTTTAACCTTTTAAAACAACACATTTGACTTTTTAAGTTCATCCTGAGATATATTTTGAAATGGAATAAGAATGGCTTAGTTTATTTTTAACAAGTTCTATCACTATTCTTGTTTCTTGTATGAAAACACCATAACATTGCAGTCAGTTTTCAGCTTTGTGGTATTTTAAACTGGACAGTGAGGGCAGAGCAGCAGCCACTTGTAATGTGTGTGTAGTGAACATTCCACCAGCTGGGAAGGACAGAGCTGCACGATTTGCTGAATTTAAGACTGACTTTCACATTTAGCTTTTCCCTTCAGGCATCAACACCCATTAAAGGTGCATTATGTAGAAATGAAGTAAAAATGACATCCTGTGGTGAAATTTGGTTACTGCAACCACTTAAAACAAATCTGGGGCTTATTGTCGGCCGTTGTGAAATTACAGTTGTCGGCGCTGCAGTATTGGCTCGCAGGAGACATGGCAACCCCACACTCACTGACTGTAAAAAGCAGTTACGTCCGTCCTTCCTTTATTTTGAAAGGAGGAAAACTGACAATCTCCGCAGCCATTTTACCACATTCCACCCGGCCACAATAAAAAACCGGCCATTATTCACCTCCGCCGACTCCGACACCGGCCAAAATATGATACCCGGCAGTTAATTAAATACAGGCTAATATTAGTTACTGAGATTCAACGGTATATCCCATTCAGCCGTGCTACACACAGCGAGTGGATCTCAGCCTACCATCACCACTGCGTTGGGAAGAAGGGTATGTGACTCCATGAAAGTCGAGGGCATTATGTAACATGATTACTACAGACATGCTGCCGATAAATGTTGTTGACGGACAGGGATTTCAAGAAGTGATAAAGTACATTGAGCTGGGGTACAATATCCCCTCTAGACAACCATAACCATTAATCATTGATTAAGGAATGTGATCTGCATTTTTTCTTTAGATGATATAGAAGATAGCATTTTATGTTACGTATACAATAGATGGAACCTATTCAGAGGGAAATTCAGCTTTTCAGAAAAATTGCCGCTTATCAATTAATCGATCATCGATCGATAAGATGAAACAACTATTGATTAATGAATTACTCGTTAATTTGCATCCCTATAGTCAGGGGTGGACCTTTAAAGCGCCCGAGCGCCAATGGCGCTAAATACTTGACGACTCACTGCCCGGGTGGCGCCCAAGCCTTATTTGTCATTTACACACCGGCTTTCACCTACATCATGGCCGCGCCCTGCAGGAAGCCGCCGTTTTCATTTCGCGCGCGTGAACCTGCGCGCCTCTAGCCATGTACTGCACGATTCTAGTTATAGTCACGTGAACTATAAGTTCACTATTAAAGACGAAGTGGAACCATGCTAGAAACACACAAGCACGCAGGGAGATTCCGCCGCCACAGGGATGGGATTTCTTGATGAAATCTCCGGCAAAACGCTTTAAAACTGGTGAGGAGAAGCGAGACAGTTCGAAACGGTATGAAGCAGAGAAGCGTGTGCGTAGGTGGAATGATTCTTGGCGGTTTAAAGAAGACGGGAGGCGCAGAGAATGGCCGTGTTTGAGTTGAGCAGCGGCTCGCCTGGAAAACAGACGAGAGCAGACGGAAGCAGCAGGGGGAGTGGCTGAAAGCCGGGTCGGACCTGGCCCGCAGCGGGGCTCAGCAGCCTCCAGAAGCTGATGGCAATGTGGGTTTAAGTCCCTGCGGGGTGGGATTGGCTGAAAGCCGGCGTTTAAGTCGGACAGATTTCCCTACATGTGTAGCTCGGGGGTGACGATGGCTGAAGATATCGCGTGAGCGTTCACACTTGTTCAATTTTCAATTTTAATTCTGGTGCCTGTTAGCAGCTGAAACACATCCTCACGTGCTTGTGGATATCATATATTCTATATGAAAACATGACTGTAATAATAAGTAAAGGTTAGCAGCTGTAGCTTCAGTGTGCTCATAGGAAACGTGACAAAAGAAAACAACACACATTTCTCTTTATGGCCTATATAGTTGTCATCATCAACATAACATGATTTACAGAATACATGTGACCTACTAACATTTCATGTTCTACCACCAGATGTTTGGAACAAAATATGAACCAATCAGATCTTAGATCAGGTGAGAGCCAGGTGTTTCCCGTCATGCCCTAGGTTTTGCAGCCGAGGGAGAGCAACTGCAGCGCCTTGCTCCAAAATCTGCGGCCGCCTTGATCTCAAGAGGTTATCGTTGCCTACGTATGCATGACGTCAGAGCAAGTCGGCGTCAAGTTGGACACAAATCTAACCGGCATGCACTGCTCGCCGATCAGCGCTGGTCTGCGCAGAACTGGCTCATCTCGAACACAGCCAATGGCTCGAGTACAGCAAAGCGGAGTTGGTGATGTACTGCGTTGTATGCCGGAAGTATGCGACGACAAAATCGAGTTGTTGAGGGAACAAACAAATTCAAACTTGAATACGTTATTATGTTTGTGAATGTGTACAAAATAAAGGTTTATTACATTTAAAACAGTTCAGTTGTTATTTTGACTGGTTTTGGCAGCTGACCAGCGGGGCCGGTAAATTCTTGGCTTTTCAGAGTTACCGGCCCGGCTGGCCGGTTGGTTTTGAAGTTAATATCCACCCCTGCCTATAGTGAACTAAAAGTAGCCAGCCAGGCATTACGTGAAAACACTGATCAAGCTAAAGGTGTGAGGTGACTAAAATTAAAGCAGACTAAAACTAACAGAATATCAATGAGGCATTGAGGAGATGACAAAAAGTGGCCAGCCAGGAATTACTAAGTATGTGAAAACATTTATTAAACTAAAGGTGTGGGGGTAGGTCACAACATAAACAAAGCAAGCAGTGAGTGCGTAATGGCTCAGCCGAGATCCACAGTTCCACATCAGGAATAGGGTAGGGCGGACGGCGCGACCACTTGTATTTATTCCTCAGGGTTTTGAGTTCTTCAGCTAAGGCCGAACGAGGGGAGTCAGATTCCGGTAAGATTTATTTATTTTTCGAGCAGGCCAGAGATAAAGTTTCCTCTGCTTTTCAGTCTTTGCTGGTCTCATGGGCATCCAATCAGGCAAATAATGGAGTTTGTTCTAGGCTCAAAGTGTCACAATTAGCTAATTAATAATAATAATAATAATAATGCAACTTATATAGCGCTTTTCTAGACACCCAAAGACGCTTTCACACACTCTCACATTCACACACTGCTAGTGATGGTAAGCTACTTGTAGCCACAGCCGCCCTGGGGAGGTCTGACAGAGGCGAGGCTGCCAAAGCACCTGCAAAGGGTTCCTGAGCCTTTAGATGGTCTTTCAGTCTAAGTTGAATTACTGAAATAAATTAACTTTTGCACCATATTAAATTTTTTCCTGTTTCCCCTGTAAATACCAGTGAAATGAAGCATGATCTATTTATGAGTACTCGGACGTCTTCATCTTTTCCTATTCTGAAATGGCTTCATTTGTTCTCATAATTTGTGCAGATCAAAGCTTTTTACATGGTTTTAATAAACAAATGTTGAGGTTGATCTGTTGCCAGATTATGGGACACCTCTGGTTTGGTTGGCTTTATTGGGTTACACGTTTAAGCTGTTTATGCATAAACTATCGAGGTAGAAAATCTGAATTTCTTCATGTCTTTTTCTTTTAGTGTGTCCTTCAACATGTATAAAGTAACAGGTCAGTTTCCATGGAGCTCACTGAGAGAGACTGATCGAGGTGTCTCAGCTGAACTGAGCGTAAGCACTCGCTTTAAAAACGTTTGTATAACAATGTTTTTGTGTGCGGTTAAAGTGTACTGAGAGAATTCATTCAGCATTTTGCGGAAACCTGGAAGGGACAGGGACACAGAACATGACACTCCACAATGTGCTCAAATACAGGCCATTGTTTCTAACAGGAGGGACTAGTGTTTTGTTGTAACAGGAAACATATTTAGCTCAGTTACTTAGCATTTTTATAGACTTGTAGGCTTTTGCTATTAATAACTAGTCTTTTAAGACCTCAACAATTAAAGACCAAATCGTTGATCTATCCTTGATGTGACGACACTACTATCTCACATTTATGCCAACTTACTGTGTAAGATCTGTAATGAGGAAAAAGAAAAAGTCAAAGTGTTGTTTCTTATTCTGAATTTACCAGTTTCCCATGTGGAAGACCAACCAGACCCTGAAGTGGGAAGGAGTTTGGAGAGAGCTGGGCTGTCTGGGTCAAAATGCCTCTTTTGCCATTCGTAATGAGAGCGGTCATTCCCTCAAGTCTTCCCTTTCAGTATGTCGTCTTTTTTCCCACTAATAGTTTTGTTGTGAGGTTCAGCATTTTTAGCAATATTCTGCAAAAAAATTTTTGTAAAAAAATGACATGTAAATTATCATGAAGAGTGGTGAAGTAATTTTATAATGAAATTTTATAATAAACCAATGTTTGTTTGCCAGCACGCTATGGTCGTTGACACCAGAAACTCCTCCATCCTTCCCAGGAAAGGTGGACTACTTAAGATTCATCAGGTTTGTAGCCAATCGGCACTTTTTCAAAAGCATCATGGCAGCAGAGTGACATATCTCAGCACAACATTATTGTTTTCTGTTCATGTAGGAACTTGCTGGTTACACTGGGGGTGATGCCAGATTCCTGAAGGAGGACTTTGAGATCCAACTTAACAAAACTCTCTACTGGGACTCTGTGAGATTTAGTATCTCAACAAACACTATCATTCAACACACACTTTTATTAGGTTTATTGAGCCACAGAAAAATTAAAGGCATACTATGCAACTTTTTCATATTCTTAAATCATTTTTTGTGCCAGTAGGTGCTAAAATGACCTTGTCTCAGCCCCGTCCACACCTTGTGAGCAGGATACCCCGTTTGCAACTTCAGCCTCTCCAGAACGCTCCCTGAGATCTCACGTCACGCAACTCCAACACGACAATCCACGTTTACACCTCAGGACAGACTAGCTGTAAGATGTTTATTATGGTGGAGCCTCAGAAGAAACAAATAAAAATATCTATCTGATGAAGCTACAAATTTTAAAAGAACGTTCAACCACAATAGGAGTCAAAAAAAATAAAATCAAGATCAGGACTTTTCTGAATCTTGAGAGCTCTTTACTCGAGACAAGAATAGTATGAGGTGATCAGTTAACAGTGGGAGGTGACCTGTATGCTACATGGAAGCATAACTCCATGAGGCTGGTGAGTCTGATCATTCTGCTCAGTTTTATGGCTTTTTGTCACACTCTGAACCAGGAAATGGCTGCAGACAGCGCCAGAAAGCTCTGGAGCAACACGTGACTCCACCCTCTAGCCAATCAGTGTCCAACACTCGCAAAGCCGCCCGACTCAGCCCTTGGAACTACAACAAAGCAGGGACTGAATAGTCAAGGAGTCAATCTGACTAGTGCCGTTGGAAAAGGCCTATTTGTGAGACTTCAGGGCAGCGGTCCGGAGAGGCTTACGTTGCAAGATAGGGTATCCTACTCACAAGAGTCAGAGGGGACTGGGAGACTTTTCATTCACCCTGTAAAGGGTCATTTTAGCAAAAACTGGCTCAAAAAATCATTTAAAATATAAATAGTTACTTAGTATGCCTTTAAAACAGAAAACTAGATTCACTCATTTTTAATCCAACTAATTAATTTAGTTTTATATTATTAGTTTGTAGAGATAATTTGGTAAACAAGGACTTTTTACAGAAAATAACAACCAAGCACAGTTTCATGTTGATATTTTTATATACACATTTTACATTTATTACTTATAAATCAAGGCAAACCTATTATCACTGAACTTTTTCCTCCAGGTTCTTTCTGCATCACTTTGGGGTGGCCTGCTTTTGCCTTTTGGTGACGCGCCAACTTGCATAGCAGACAGGTACAAACATAAAACGTTTGTCTATTTGTTAAACTGTTGGCTACAGCCCAGAGACCAGACTCACTGGACAGAAACGTTACTGTCCGTTTCCATTTGTCTGGTTTTCTCATGATCTGTGATACCTCGTTTGATTTTCCTCAGTTGACACCATCATCAGGTGGGCAGAGAGGAGACACAAGGCCGCAATCGTGGCTTCAGTGGTCTGCTACTGTTCAACCGTTGCAGCATTTTGTAACGTTCTGATAATCTATGCTGTGGCCAATAAATTCTAAAGTTGGCCTGCCCTTTCAGAAAGCTGTCCTGTGGGTTGATGAGGAAAGATCTGTATCTTGAGATGGGAAATTGCCGCTGTTAGACAGTATTGTAAAGCGCGTTTTTAAAAGTGTTCTCCATCCTGCTTTTCTATGTAAATTAGTAATGTTGTAATGGCCACGGACAGGTTGAGATATACCGCCTTAAATGTACATGTCTCAACCCACTTCAGCGTCGGCAATTTATAAAGGTTTGACACGGTAATGCTATCTGCAGAGCAGCAGTAGCCCGAGCTACTGCTGATGATCTCGTTAGACATGCACAATAAAAAAAAATTTTTTGTCAGTTATTCGCTATTCAAACTTTGTGGTTTTATGAAGAAAGAATTTATAAATAAAAAAATTCCATAAAATGTGCGCAACAGTTAGCCAACCTCTGACCCCGGCGAGAGCACATGTTGGAGATGGGGAAACATGCAGCGTAGTCAGTGAGATGATGCACGCACGCACGCACACACCATAGTTGGCCCCCACTCTGTCTCTGAACTGAGAATAAGGCCTAGTCCACACGTAGCCGTTTTTTTTTAAACGAATATCCGCCCCTCCAAAAACTTGCATCCACACCACCTCGTTTAAAAAAAAACTCTGTCCACACGTACCCGGATAAATACGTTGTTAAGGACATGCCAGACCTGTAGGCGGCAGTACTTCCCCCGTTCTTAACCTCGTCCTTCATCTGTGGTCTTCTGCGAGGAGCAGTAATTCCGCTTGCAACAACAAACAAGCAAAAAGCGCTTGGAAAATTGATAAAGCGAGCACAGCTCTGAGGGCATCTATGCTGTCGGCTAGTGCAAACACAGGTCGCACACGTGATGTCAGCATTTTTTGTCGCGGAAAGTGACGTTGCGGACCTTAAAACTCCGGTTTTGTCTGTCCACACGCAGACACCCAAAACGGAGAAAACGCAGATCTTCACTTTGGCCGGAGTTTTTAAAAAGATCAGTTTTTGTGTGAAAAAACTCCGTTTTTGTGTGGATGACAGACCAAAACGTAGACAAATATCTATGTTTTGGCAGATCCCCGGCTACGTGTGGACAGGGCCTAAAAGTGAACCTAAATGAAAATTTGTTGCTTTCAACAGTTACATCACAGTAACTTCATATCTATGTCTCCACATTAGTTATTGGTGCGTTAATTGTCTGAGGTGCATCAAGTTTTAATCAAGCTATGAACTGTAATTCTTTTCAGAGTCGGCATGCAAATAACGTGATAATTTTGCACCCCTATTTAAACCAGTTGCTTGTAGTCATTGCACATGTAAACCAGAAGTTTTGTTTTCATTTTTTGCATCTTTGACCCGTTAGGTTCTACCTTGGTGGGCCCACCAGTATCAGAGGATTCAGTATGTATAGTATGGGACCACAGAGTGATGGTAAGGCATGATTTTTTTCCTTCTATTTCCTGATGTTAATGTTCCATTGTGAAATGTTGTCATTACTGACATGGCAGGAGATTACCTGGGAGGTGAGGCTTACTGGGCTGGAGGCCTCCACCTCTACACACCTTTACCCTTCAGACCAGGCAGGGGAGGCTTTGGCGACCTCTTCAGAACCCACTTCTTCCTCAATGCTGGAAATCTTTGTAATCTCCACTATGGTAAGCATTTGGGATTTGCTTTCCTCCTTTCTAATAGTCTGAATTTGGGTTAAAAGGCTTTGCTTCTTAGACAAAGTACAGTTTGAGTGCAGGGCATAAACATTTTTTCTTCCATACTTTTCAAAGTCCTATATATTGTTTGATTCAGGTGAGGGGCCTCAAGCACATTTGAAGAAACTTGCAGAATGCATCCGTTGGTCTTATGGACTAGGCATTGTACTGCGTTTAGGGAACATTGCCAGATTGGAGCTGAATTACTGCATACCCATGGGAGTCCAGAGTGGAGACAGGTAGGAATATTTGATGTGATGTAGTCTCTGCTAAGAAGATTGCATATTCTACACATGACATGTAATGTTAAATGTCTGTAGTCACTTTAAAGTTACTGGCAGCTCTGTGGCTTATATATTGTTTTCTGCTTTGTTGCAGGATATGTGATGGGATCCAGTTTGGAGCGGGAATCAGATTCTTGTGACGCCATGTTTTTCCATTTTATTGGAAAGGGGAATTTGCTTGTACAGAATTATTAAAAGAAATTAATTAAAGTACAATGTTTTTCTCTTGACTTGGTTCTGTGTTGTAGGTTTCTGTCATGCTGTATTGGTAAAAAAATGATTTAGTGGACAACAATTCAACACAAAAATACGGTCAATCATTTTCCTGACCTGTAGGTGTTATTTTGAGTACAATTTTAAAATGAACATATATTTTCCATAAAGTGTTAGAATTTTTGCATCTTTATAATTTTTATTTTGGGCAGTGCTAATTCCTTTTTGTTGTACTTGATCGATTACATACTTCTCTGAATGCCTGTACTTAAGCACAGACTTTGGAATATTTAGATGGAAAATGGTAAACAATCAAGTATAAACAAGCTTATTGTTACATTTGAAACTGTTAAGCGTCGACATAAACTGCTAAATGTGTAAAATGTAAACTAACCGATCTGCGTGTTTAAGCTGCGCATCGATTTAGCGCATGCCCTATTGTCACGTGACGTCTGACGGGCCTCTCTATTCGCTAAACTGGCGCATGCTTACTGCGTTTTGTTCCGTAGCATCTTTGCGGGAAAAAAAACGGTTTTCATTCACTAGTTTCTAGAATATTCATCTTCACGTTCCGCTACTCTAGAAGATTGTACTTTATACTACGTCGTAGTTCGTTTTGTTGTCGGTTAACACATTGCGATAGCAGTCGTTGAAGGTCTTTAGCGGTTTCGTCAGCTGTCTTATCTGAGAGCAGCGGGGACACGGACGCACGCTGATGGCGGTCACCATCGAGGATCTCTACCGGAGCTACGGGATTCTTGCTGACGCTAAAGACAACCTATGTCAGGTATAGAGCAACCTTTTTGTTCTGTTTTTACTAGGGCTGTATTTAGTAGTTCGTATTTATGTGATGCTTTTTTAATGCCTGTTTTCCCCTCACCATTGTTTATGCTAGGCTAGCCGCAACGAGCTACAATAATGACCTGGCTAATGTTGATAGCCTCACTGTAGCGAAACTAACGACAACCTTTTTCCACATCTTTCATCAATTTAATCCTTCTATGTTGCCTTTCTTCTAACAATGGGTTTTTAGAGAGGCGTAATTAAAGCAGATTTGATCGCATTATCATCAAACATCCAAATCAAAGTGCTTCTCAAACTAAAGTGACTCCAGCACTCTTGGTTTAACAGATTGATTTGTTGATGTTTACAGTGAGCATCAGTCACCATCTTTATTCTTTGGCGTATTAATAAAACGTCGTTATTCGTTTCATTTCACTTGAATGCTTATATTCTGGTTGGCAATTGTATTCTGTTTTGAAGTTTGTATATTTAAATTTTGAGTTAAATAAAATTATTGAATTGAATATTAAGCGCACCTGGGCTTTAACAGTAAGGCCCAAACATTCTGTGTTGACTGTTTGAAGCAAGCTTTATCCAGCTGTCAGTTCTCGGATGTCAGAATTTGTCCTCTAGTTGAAACTTCCAGCCTTAATAAAGTTTCTTGCAGAACTTGATGTGACATCAGTGACTTGAAAAATACAAATGACTGGTATTGGTTATCACTGATTAGTCCTGGGGAGTGATTTTCTGTATTACCCGATGAACTGGGAACTCCTGTATATGTAAATATCTGTCTCGTCTGTTTAACAGTGTGGGGTTCAGTAATCCCAAGTCACATCTGTGGTTGTATGTTTCTTTTCTCTTCAGCATAAAGATGCCTATCAAGTAATCCTCAATGGTGTGAAGGGTGGTGCCAAGGAGAAACGACTGGCAGCACAGTTTATTCCTAAATTCTTCAGCAGCTTTCCAGAGTTGGCTGATGCTGCCATCAATGCCCAGCTTGATCTCTGTGAGGATGAAGATGTGTCTGTAAGTTCTAGACAAAACGTGTTTGTATTAGTTGAACTATGTGGGATTTCTGATGATGTGTTTTTTTATAGATTCGACGACAAGCCATTAAGGAGTTACCCCGGTTTGCCACTGGCGATAACATCTTAAGGGTTGCAGATATTCTCACCCAGCTCCTTCAGACAGGTGTGGACTATTATAAGCCACACACATCCTTCACTGGGTCACTTCTAACTGCTGTGTGGTAATGTAGTAGTAATCTGTGTGTATGGTTGTGCTTTTAGATGACACTGCAGAGTTCAACCAGGTGACTGCAGCTCTGATTTCAATATTCAAAATGGATGCTAAGGGTGAGTTTTGTTTTCTTAATGCTATTCATAACAACTGATCTAGAAACAGTTTATTTAATTGATACATTACAACCGTCCCCCTTACATGTACCTGCCATCCAGGTACTCTTGGAGGTCTCTTCTCTCAGATCCTGCATGGGGAGGACATTGTCAGAGAAAGAGCCATCAAGTTCCTGTCTACCAAATTGAAGACCCTCCCAGAAGATGTCATGTCAAAGGAGGTTGAAGATTATGTCTTTGCCGAGACAAAGAAGGTGAGGAAATGGTGTAAATTGGTTTTTGCAATCCTTATTGAAACATACATTAACTAATTATTAGTGTGCAGTCCTATAAAAGAGTTCTGGTTGAATTGATCTTCCCTACTGCTTCCTCAGGTGCTGGAGGATGTGACGGGTGAGGAGTTTGTGCTCCTGATGCGTGTGGTGTCTGGTCTGCATGTGCTGCAGACAGTAAATGGGCGGCAGCAGCTTGTGGAGCTGGTAGTGGAGCAGGCTGACCTGGAACAGGCCCTTAACCCGTCAGAACCAGATGCTGTAGACCGCCTCCTGCAGTGCACACGCCAAGCCCTCCCGCTGTTCTCTGTGAGTACATGTACATTCTCAGCTGATGCGCGATACGATAAATACTTTAGTTAAACAAATTATCTCTATGTAGCAGGTCAGAAAAATAACAAGAAATTAACTGTTACCATTAATGTCTTTCAAGTTCACCAGTCTGGTACCAAATAAAAACTTTAAATCAAACATTGAAATATGCTCTGAATTAATTTTACGATGCAATTAAATTGAAGTTGTTTGTTTTTGTAGAAAAATGTTCATTCCACTCGGTTTGTAACCTACTTCTGTGAACACGTCCTGCCTAATCTCAGCACACTGACGAGTCCTGTGGCAGAGCTGGACATTCAACTGGAAGTGAGTTTAATTTTTATTTTCTACTGAGATGATAGAGTTCATTATGGGGGAAATCTCATCAAAATCATTGCTGTGATGTCATTATTAGCAGGACCCAGTTCTGTTTACTGTTTAGTACAGTATTGATTTTAGAGTCCATGATCTGCCAAAGCTTCTTATATACAGTTGGGGTTACTCGGTGTACTCCGATCGCTCGTCTAAAGGGTTTTCTAATGTTTGTGTACTTAGGTGATCTAGTTCACAGGTGTCAAACTCAGGCGCTCGGGCAAGATTAGGTTCACGATCTATGTACATTTGTCCCATCAGAGAAAATTTTCAAGTATATATTAAAATTGACCTGTCAGCCCATTGGACCGCAAAGACTAAAAATCTCATAGTGTTTAGCAGCACCAAAATCCTTTTCCTGCTTTGGACTCCTTTAAAGTTCTGGTTAAAAATGACCGGTGGTGTGAAGGCGAGAACTCAAAGTCTTGATGTTTGGTTAGTGCTGATTGTATAAACGGAGTCAGAGTGACTGCTACCTGTTAGTGGGGTCAGTAGTCCGCCCCACAGAGCTTTGTCCCCCATTAGTCATGTTGGTATTCCTTCCAGTAGTAACATTCTAATGTGCGTTTGTGTTGGTAGGTCCTAAAGCTGCTGGCTGAGATGAGCCCGTTCTGTGGTGATATGGAGAAGCTTGAGGCCAACCTCAGCATGATGTTTACCAAGCTCATGGTAAGATCACGTTATCCTGTCATGGGGTGGGCCATACAAAATCAGTCATGATAATACCAGTCATCACTTCTTGCCAGGGAAAAGTATATATCACAATAGGGCTGCACGATATTAGGAAAACCTGCGATATTCGATAACAGTGCTTAATATTGCGATATCGATATTACTCACGATAAATGAACAAATACTAAAGTATGCAGTGTTGATGTCGTCTGGCGTGTGACGTCTGCTCTGAGTTCAAAGCAAACAAAAACTAATGCATGAATTCCATTACAACATAACATTTTTATTGCAAAAATATGCAGCTGCACCTGCTACTGTATTAGCAGCAAAACAACAAACTGCATGCATGCAGTTTCTCAGTGACTTTTAAACATCACCTCCACCATAAAACTTTTCCTGATGCTCCAAATACAGAAAAACATCCCTTACCAGGGTTTTTAGAATAAATAAAAAAAATCAGAAAATAAGTTTAAATGTTAAATAATAGTTAACATCACTTAAATGCAACAGCAAATTCTCTCATTGCTACTGAGCATTTTCTCCACTTATGTGGTTATGATATAAGGCTGTTGCTGTAATTGGGAAGTGAACTGTGCTGGGCCAAACTAGGAGAACATTAAGATTTTCTGAGGGAAAGAGAAAAACAATTGTCTACCTTTCAGAAGAGGAACTGGCAAAAAAACTACATGGAAAATATGTGAAAACGTTTGTTTTTAACCCCAAATTGAACAAGTTTACCTAGATCTTAAAAAGCAGCTCAGATGATGAAACTGCAACTATGATTCTGATAACAAGCTAACAAATTGAACTAGCTCCTCTAGGAGGAGCTAGTTCAACCGGCTAGAGAGCAAACAATGACGGTTCAACCGTCATAACCGGCTAGCAGAGCTTCTGAATGACAGTTTATGTGCTGCAGCAAATCAACTATCCTGATTAACAAGGTTATAAAAGCTCATAAATGAAAAATCACTTTGATGTGTGGGGGAACTTTTCCAGGCCCTCTTTAGCAGGGTGGGACTGGGAGGAGAGTGCTGTAGCCTTTTAGCTGGAAGCTAACCGGAGTCTGGGGCTAACATCACCACCCGGTGGAACACTAGCGACATGAAGGTGGGTTGGTTCACCGGCACGTGTCGGAGTCAGCCCGCTAAAAATGATTAACGACACCGAGCGGACTCGCGTTCACGTTTGAAAGCAGCGCTGATTCCAGAAACCTCAGCACAAAGTGCGTTCGTTAATCTGAGCCAGCATGACGAACAAGGGAACGGCACCGCTAACTCAGTTCGGGTGTTGCTTTCCATCCTAAGGGTGTACATAGGAGGCGGGCGTATTACGTGAACGGACCCATCTGATTGGCCGCATATCAGAAGGGCTACATTTGATTGGTCATATAATACTTCCGTGTAAAAAACAGAGCTGGTTTACAAAAAGTTGATGTATGACACGGATGGAAATGGAACTGTTGAATCAAACATTTATCGCCGTTTTTGATGTGCGTTGCGATGGGCCTATCGCACGTCCTGTTATCCCGATGACGGTAATTTTTTGATATATTGTGCAGCCCTACATCACAACACAAGAAAAAGTTTCTGAGGTGTTTTAGCCACAGCAAAAATAAGTTACCTGGTTATGGGGTGGGTTGGTTCTCTTCACACAAAGAAAAAATAAATCATCAGCCAGTGCACAAATGGTTGCTGAACCACCAACGTAAAAACTGAAAAGCTGAGTGGAAGATTTTGGGAGGAACAACACCCAGTGACTTGGGAATCTAGATAACAGTTGACTTGACTGGCTCCTTCTAGGTGCTATAAAAAAATCAGAGCCAAGTCCAGAAACTTCCTCCTCTATAACAGCAACAGTGGAGGTGTCATCATTCTCATGTCTTTCAAGAAATGTTTCTATGACTCGTGTTTACATTGTACATACTTTTAACTCTTGCTTTACCTCCTTATTTTGGGAAAAAATGAAACGGGTTTCATAGGGCCCAAGTATTTATGACAAAGTATAAATTAATAAAACAATGTTTATGCTTATGTCATAAGATGTATTGTTAATATCAGAATACTCAAAGTCACGATGCATCCTTTATCAAAACTTTAAGACCACTTGAAAACTTGAAAAATACTGTAAAGGGTCATTTTAGCACATGCTGGCTCAAGAAAATGATTTAAAATACGAATATGTTAAGTATTCCTTTAAGTGCTGTCCGCCTAGGGGAAATGGAATCAAACCAAAAGAAGCCACCCGATTGGCCAAAGGGCTCTATTTGATTTGTCAAAATCTTCATGCTTCAGTTTGACTAAATGCATTATGCGTAGCAAACATTTGAGCTGACCATGTACTGCATGCTGTATTGCAGTGATACATTTGCAATGTGTTGTGCAGCCCTATAAACAAGACTTAAACTGTTAAAGTTGTCCCAGATCGAGAAAAACAGGAACATGAAAAAAAGTAGGTGTTTTTTACCTCACCACTCTTATGGAATTGTAGAACCTTGTATGTTTTCTTTTAGGTATCTAATATTTAAAAATCTGTCAGGTGTATACTTCTGTGTCTGCAGGGCTGCACGTGTAGATGGAGACTTTTTTCTTCTTCGGATTCTCTTTTGCCTTTTGCCTTCGGGTGTTGCAAAGCAGTTCCCCAGCAGGACAACAGAGGAGGAGGAGTATAAACTATATTATTAATATTATGTATCTGTTGTAGGAGTTCATGCCCTTGCCTCCAGAAGAGGCGGAGAATGGAGAAACCTCGGCAAATGAAGAGCCCAAACTTCAGTTCAGCTACGTGGAGTGTTTGATTTTCAGCTTCCACCAGTTGGGCAAGAAGCTCCCCGACTTTCTTGTTGACAAAGTGGATGCTGAGCGCCTCAAAGACTTCAAGATAAGGTATTGGGGTGACATGTTAGACTCCTGGTGATTTAGTCTGTTGCCACTCACCTAGTGCTGCTTTTGCTTCTCGTTTTAAACAGATTACAGTATTTTGCCCGAGGCCTGCAGGTTTACATCAGACAGCTACGAGTAGCACTGCAAGGAAAGACCGGAGATGCTCTGAAAACAGAAGAAGTAAGGACCGTGGGCTGCTGAAAATTACTATAGTACTCTAACAGATCCCAGGATCAATGTTAAACTTCTTTTATTTTTGTATTTAATCAGAACAAAATCAAAGTGGTGGCTCTGAAGATCACAAACAACATCAATGTTCTCATCAAGGTAATTTCTACAAATCAGCTGTTAAAACATGTACGGCTGTGTTTTCAGTATAAACGCTACCTGTTATAGAAATGTGTATGTTTGGCGTGGGACAGCGCCACGCCTGAGCCTGACTGGAACTGTAGTCGGGGTTTGTTTGCTGTGGTCGATGTTTACATTAGTGAACCTGTGGGGAAAAGGTTTTTTTTTTTTTTTTAAACCATTTCTCGTGTCTGTGTAAGAGTTGTAAAGACAAAGTTACTCGTTGACTTTTTGTAGATGATTCCTGAATAACATCTGTTTGGTAAAATGGAGTTTATGTGTGATAGGACTGATCGGCTAAAGGCAGATTTTGTTTTTTTGTCATTTGTTTTTTTAATTGAATTCAAAATAAAAGTTGTTTTTCAGTTTTAGTCTCAGATCAAAAACAAGGAATGGGAAAGTCACCTAATTTAAAATCACCAAATGAGCGCGGTTGTGTCTGCCGCTCACTGTGACCCCCCCTGGCATTGGGTCAAGTACGAAGGACAGTTTTCACCACACAAGTGTGTATGACTACTATAGGCATTTAATCTTAAGACTTTTCTCTTGTTGCACATCACCCTCTAGTTATATCTGCTGGATCTACTCAAGCAAACCAAACTCATGTAGTCAAAAAAAAACACAACCCTGAAGTAAATGAGCTGGAATAAAGGGCATCATTCAAATATTTAGCACTTCAACAGTGAAGTTCTAGAAAAGCCTAAAAAACAATCCTTAAAGGTGCTATAATGTTCATACCATTTATTTTTTCTTTACAACATTCTTAAATTGCAAGATTTTTTAAAATCTTTATTTTTGTTTCAGGATCTTTTCCATAACCCTCCATCGTACAAGAGCACCGTTACCCTGTCCTGGAAACCGGTCCAGAAGCCCGAGGGAGTAGCGTAAGTTGGAAACATCAGGCCTTCGTCGGCTGTCTGATGGCCTTGCGGTTCTTTTCAGCTTCATTGGACTTTTTTGTTTGCTGCTTTTAGCACCAAGCGTCCATCAACTGAGGACACAGGATCTGGGGGAAGTACCAAGAAGCCGGTCGTCTCTCTGCCTCGACGGGACGCACGGCAAATTTATAACCCCCCCAGCGGCAAGTACAGTGCCTCAATTGGCAATTTTACCTATGGTGAGAAGGATTCTGTGGCACGTTTTATTTTTCTTTGTTTTCTGACACTGTTTTCACTGAACAGTTATCACCTTTTAACCCTAAAAGCACATCAGGGAATTTTAAATATCTTCATATCTAATCGAATGTAAATCCTCTGCACTCGTGGATTCACTGGTGAGACGGCAGAGTCTATCACTGGGATTGTAGTGGATTCACTCCCAGTGTTTATTCTAGACCCGTGTCAGCCTCGAGCAGAAGAACTTATAGTTGTCTACTCTTTCACAGATGAGTTTAAACATTCATGTTTGCTCTTCAGGATTCATCTGATTGAAGCACAAGGATCTTCTGTCTAATAAAAATCAAAAATAAAATTTAGCTTGAATATAAAAGGGCTGTTGAAGTTCAACAAAATGTAATTACTGGTCAGAACAAGTTGTTGACATAATAGAACTAGAACCAATGCATCAAAAACAGACATAAGAATTGGAGCACTAATGTTATACTGATCTATAATTGTGAATTTTTTTTTTTGTACACAAATCAGTCAAGAATTTGTCTGATAAACTTCCATAGGCTTTACCATTCCATGGCTGCCAATCAGTATGAGTTAACCACCTATAAAATGTATCGAGTCACTGACGGGCATCAGTGTCTTTACAGCAATCCTCACACTAAGCAAGCATTTAGCGACAGTGGAGAGGAAAATTCCCTTTTAACAGGAAGAAACCTCCAGAGGATAAACCAGGGGTCAGCCACTTTTCCCATCAAAGAGCCATTATTACCCGTTTCCCACAGTAAAAGTATACTGGGAGCCGCAGCAGCCGCGGCGTTGTGGGTGGGCGTTCCCTCTTGCACCTGGGCCCTCCCTAAGTCAGCCGAGAGCTGCTTTAACTGATCACAACAGGTGACAGCAACCGATACCATTCACTCTTGTACCTCAACGTTATCTTTCAACAGAAGATGATTAATAAAACCATCTGTATAAAATGATCCAGAAGTTGTAGCCCATCTGTGCCTACCGTATTTTGATATTTATCACCCTGTTAGTGGTTTTATTGATCAAGTGCCGTTTTTTGACGCTTCACACACGTCTCCTTTTAAAACATGTTTAAACTGTTCAGAATACAAATCTAGGCTCAGTCTCGTTGGATTGTTTTAATTAAACAGAGCGAAGCTTTACATTAAACAATGTTAAAGGTAAGAAAAGAATCCGATCAATTCGTTTTTTTTTTCCCTCATTTACAGTGGCGGACATACCGGCGCAGTGCGCATGGCTCTGGTGTTACTCAAGTTAAACCTCCTGGGACCCAAACTTGTATTGGGTTTGATTTAAAAGAAAAAAACATCTAGCTATTACAGACTAGTCGACTGTAATTAACAGAAAAGTAACAAATTTTAATTCGATAAAAATTAATTAAAAAAATTGTCAAATATCCTAAAAAAAGACAACTAAAAAAATTTTTTTAAATTAAAGTTATAGTGTCTATAAATAATAATGAAAAGGTCCAAGTAGAAGAGAATAAAATTTTAAAGAGCAAGGACCCGGACACAGGGTCCTAGGAGCTTAATGTTCCTTCACAAGAAGGCAAAACAGTTACATGATGGGGTTTGCATTGACCGCATATTTTCCGTATTTGATCGTTTATTTTGACGGAGAAACCTCAAGCCTGCAGATGGCTGACATTTTTATCGTTACGCTCATCGCGGAGGTAGCTACATCAATCAAGAAAAGATTCCCATCAGAACATCTGAGCTGGACACTGCTCAGCGCAGCTCGCTGTCAGCGTGCACGTAAGGTGGACCGGAAGCTGAAGATTTATTCAGCCGATATGTTGATTGGGGGCTTGGAGCGTGTCGCAGTATCAGAGCACATGCAGGAAGATTCCTCTCACTATGTTTTCCAAACCCTGTCTCTTCAGAGACTTGTCATTTAGAAAATGTTCCCTGATTATGAAACTTTGGCAGAATAGCGCTTGTTCCTGTCTCCAATGTGGCGACACATCCATGAGCATGTCTGAGGAAAACTCCAGAATCTCAATTCCTCTTCAGCTCAGAAGGCGCCTATAGAGACATTTGATTACGTACAAGCTGGTGACCTGTACACCGTTGGACCTGTTCAGGTTTACGCAGACAATCTTTACATTTAAAATTGGCATACAGATAAAAATGAATGCAGTAAAATAAAATACTAGTAGTAGCACATTCCATGTCAAAGAAAGGAAAATGATATTAACAGGAAAGAGAGAATGTTTAGGTGGTTAGCAGCAGTGTGCTAGCTGATGGTCTCCTCCACGAGGCCGCCACAGCTCAGCAGAACACCGTTGTAGCTTCTTTTGAGGAGAAAAACACTTGGAGAGAAAATACAATTAACAGCTGAAATAGCAGGAAATAATGCAATTATAGAGTGTTGCGTCCCCTTCTGAACGTCCAGGAGGATGAGGGGGCTAACACATGGAGGTGTGTGTGAGAGGATAAATAATGAGGTGGTGAAGTAAAAAACGAGGATTTATTAACAAAGGGTGTCCTTTTCTAAAGGCAAAATCAGGCTTACCACAGGGAACGGTGCTATAGAGGTGGAGTAAGCGAGTAACAGCTTACGAAAACAGCATTTGGCCGAAATAGGTAAAAACCACCTAAACAGAAAAAAATCCCTGGCTAAAAGTCCAAAGGGGAAAAACACCAAAATTAAAGCTGTAACTCTGTCAAAAAGCCTGAAGAAGAGCAAAGTCTACTTTCTACCAAAAACCCCAGACGACCGTACGCCACAGTTTAACCTTAGCGAAAAAAGTGTAACCCAGCTCAGGAGGATCTCAGACTAGCTCTGGATGTCCTTGAATGACTGCTGTGCTCTCCTTTATGAAGTCCTCCAGGCTGCTTGATGGCCGATTTGGATCGGCTGCTCCTGTTTCTGGCGTGCCTCTCTCCAAGGTCCTGAACTGCCACTGAGGGAGAGTGAGTCGCTCCGGAAACTGTCCCAGATGCTGAAAAGCTCAGCAGTGGTGACAGCAGGGCGCAGATAAACATGATGGGGAGGACCGAGGGGACGAGGGTCGTCACATAGAGTAGTGGTAGAAAAAAGTGGTCAGTGTGTCCTCCAGCAGTCTAAGCCTATAGCAGCATAACTACAGAGATAATGCTGGATAACCTAGCCTTTTAGATGGAGGCAGGGCAAGGGAGAGCCGTCTTTACCGACTGTATTCTCCACTGTACACTCAAACTCCCTCTACTCCCCCACTTGTCCAGATGTGGGCTAACATCAAATTTTAACCATAGGCACATATCAAATAACAGAACTTCCAATCTGTACGCTTTTTGCATAGCAAGTACGCAATTTGGAATTTAATTACGCTAGTACGACTCACCCCAAAACTGCCGACACGGAGTTCTGTAGCAAATGTGCACATCTGGTACTCGTGTCTGATAACACGACTAAGCAGTGTGGTGAAGAAGTTTAAGCCAATCATTGTAGAAAAGTGAAGAAAACCAGTTCTGCCTAACCTATAGCGTAACTCCCCCTCCTCCCTGCTCCATCCTACGTCCTGCCTCTCTTGCACCTCCGATTCCCACTCGCTGCTGTTCTGGCTTTTAAAAAGGTAAACTCTCTGTGTGTGTCAGCGGACCGGACTGGCATGAGCGTGGGGGGTTGTGGATGTTTTAACACCCACACTTCCTAATGACGAGGTTAAAACTAGGGGCTGCATGACAATTTTTTTAAAAGTCGACAGTCAAGTAATGAAAATCAAGTCGACTTTGATTAGTCGTTGATGACATCATTCACCTGAAGCGGGTTGGTTCGCTGGAGTTTTTGACAATTGAAATAGCGCCCACATTTTCTAAGTTAAACAACGGTAGTTTCTGCATCTATACTGCTCCGCTTCAGCCATCTCCCCCCTCCCCCTGCGCGGCGGCCGCAAACTCACTGCTGCTCCTGCAGCCTCTCGGAGTTCCTGCTGCTCTAAACATTAAAATAATTATTTCATTTTCTGTTCCTCACTTCTGATTACCTTCAATGGTGTCTGTTTGTTGCAATCACCAGGTACAAAAACTAACTTGTTTTTATTTGACTATTTTTCTGTCCTGTCTGTTTATTATCTTCCTGCATCTTCTCTCAATCCTAAAGAACAACTGCTACCTGGGTTCATTTATATTCACCTTATGAGTTACCTTTGAACTGCAGTTCTAAAAGATCTTCCGACCGCGAAAACAGCGGAGTGCACACCGGCCGCACCGGTGAGGTGAAGTAACTGGAGAATGTCAACGATCAGAGCTTTGCATGCGCAAGCTGGTTAAGGTTAGGATGGGGGTGAGGGGAAGGTTAAATTGCAAGAGGGTAAAGGTCAAAATTCGGTCAAATGTCCGTTTTACGGCGGGCGTCAGATACCGACGCTCTGGCACAGCGCGTCTGTATCCGACGCGCAGGGGCTCGTCACCTGCTGTCTTTTCCGAGGACTGCATTTTGTTGGTCATTATCACGTGACAGCAACTAGTCGATGGCAGACATAAAAAGTCACTACAGAGCGGTGAAGTCAACTAGTCGATACAACCCCTAGTTAAAACACCCATGTTTTACCGCAGTTTAGTTAAACAACTTTACAATCAGCCCGGTCCCTCCATGTTCATGTTTATGTATTTAGCAGACGCTTTTGTCCAAAGCGACTTACAAGTGATAATCGGCATGTTGCCCTTGAGGCTAACAACAACAATAACAACAACAACTTGACATCAGCCATGGAGAGGAGGGAACAAGGAGTGGACAGTAGAGAGGGGGGACGGGTGCAGGGAGGGTGCTAGTCAAGAAGATGCTCTCTGAAGAGCAGGGTCTTGAGGAGTTTCTTGAAAATTGAAAAGGAAGCCCCTGTTCTGGTAGTGCTTGGAAGGTCATTCCACATTTGTGGAACGATGCATGAGAAGAGTCTGGATTGTCCTGAGCGTGGTGTAGGCACTGCTAGCCGACGATTCTGTGATGACCGGAGCGGCCGGGCCGAGACGTAAGCCTTTGCAAGAGGATTCAGGTAGATGGGAGCCATACCATCTCGGACTTTGTATGCTAGTGTTAGCAATTTTAATTTGATGCGTGCTGCTAGCGGTAGCCAGTGGAGCTCAATGAACAGAGGGGTGACGTGTGCTCTTTTTGGCTGATTGAAGACCAGACGCGCTGCTGCGTTCTGGACCATTTGAAGAGGTCTCACAGTACAGCCTGGAAGACCAGTTAGAAGGGCATTGCAGTAATCGAGGCGGGAGATGACAGTAGATTGCACCAGGAGCTGGGTGGCATGTTGTGTTGGGTAAGGTCTGATCTTTCATATGTTATACAGCGCAAAGCACTTCTCGTTGTGTTGGCCCGCTCTCCCTCCCTCTCCTGCTGCCAATCTAAACCCACACATTTTAGCACCGATGTCACGTCAGCATTCTGGTCGGTTCTGTTAAAACCCGTTTTTCCACCGCAGTGCGCAAGTGGCAAAAATGTGTGCTTATTACAAGCTCGCCCTCGTGGTGCACTCTGCTCACACGCAACAGAACTGCTGCCTCCGTACGTTAAAACATCTGGTTTGTGCAGATCGACATTTGAAACTGGAGCTAATTAAGTTGTTGAAGTTATGTGTACCAACCCTGCTCGGTGTTTCCCCTACATAGGTTAAGGCATTGTGCTGCGCCACAGCTGAAATTCCAGCTCCTCGCCTACGAGATCCCTCCCCACGCACACAGACGCATGGAAGGGAAGCTCTGCACGCTCCCGCCGCTCTCTCGGGCAATACACGGCAACAAAACGGCCAGCGAGCAACAAGCCGGCCATTTTTTGACCCAAGAGCATGGTCTTGGATTTAGAGGAGCTGAGTGCCATCCCAGCTGCTTCATCGGAACCATCATTAGTTATAAAGATTTCAGATAAAAGATTTAATAACCCTTGCACACTTTATACTGGTGGGGAGTTTCACAGCCCAGTTAAAGTCCAGCACATTTGAACTGGTTTGACTTTTTGTTCCTGCAGAGCAGCGCGGCGGCTTCAGGGGCGGTCGGGGACGAGGCTTTGGAACCAGAGGCAGCAGGAGCCGAGGCCGGATCTACTGAGACACACACGTACATGTCACTCATTGAACTGCATCACATCAGGAATCTTTCTTTACTATGACGGACTATTTGTCAACAGATAAGTTTGTGGGGTTTATTTTTTTGGGGGGAAGGTTGTTTTTTTTCCACAAGTTTTTACATTTTTGTGTTTTGATTGGTTTGATTTCCTGCTTTGAGAATGTCAGGTTTTCTACCTGCTTCTTCAGTATTTACTATCTGTATTTGTCTGATACTTATCCCGTACATGTTTGCTTTTTCCCCTCTCCTCGACTTTTTAAACATAGTGTACTGTTACTAACAAGACTGTCATGTTGTAACTGTAACAGCATATTTTTGTCAGATAGTTGTCAGAAAAGATGATCCTTTTGTTTTGCAACCTGTCAATGAATGCATTCATTTATACTTTTTTAAAATTACTTTTGGTTTTGTTTTCTGTATCAGAGCTTAAATTGGCTGACTGCTACTTTGTATAAATTAATGAATTTTCATTGGATTTTTATCATAAACTTGTATGGAAGTATGAACACTGGCTTTAATTTCCATTCAAATTCAACATAAATCGTTTTTACTTGGAATTCTTTCATTTGTTTTTAGCTAAAGAAAATTGTTCCTACTTGGAGGAATTTGGTGTTCCCCTTCTAATGTCTAAAGGTTTGTGTCCGAGTGAGAGATACAGGATCTGACTTACTGAAAGGAGCTCGTGTTTGGAGGTAGGGTGGCCACCGATTCTCTCTGAAACCCCAGACATTTTAAATGATCGGCGTCAAAATGGAGGTGGATCTCACAGCAACAGGTCCTCGTGTAGAGACATGCACGGGATGTGTGTAGGTGGATGCTTTGTGGAAGGAGGGGAGCTCTGACTTCTGAATCGAATGTGACATTTGTCCCCTAAAGCTAATTTCAGCTGCTGAATTGCAGAAGTGGGGATAAAGATGAGGATGTTGACTCGTCCTGAGTGAGTAAGATGGATAATTCACTTCAGAACATTGTCATTAGTTAATTTAAGGGTGTTTGTTTTACACCTATGAAGAGTGCTGTGCATTGTGGGAACTAAGAAGCAACAGACGCGTCTTGGTGTCCTCTCTAGGGGGCGCTTTACACCAAGGCTTTCCTCTCTGAGCATCATGATCTATTTTTAAACTCAGAACGAGTCACGTAAATCCTTCTGGTGTCCTTTAGACTCTGTTTTTGATCCATATTTCTGTTCATCTGCGCTACTGTCCGTACGCCTCAGGGCAGCTGTGGCTACAACTAGTGTGAATGTTCGTGAATAGAAGCACGATTCACTCGTGTGAAGCGCTTTGGAGTCCTCTGAGAAAGGTGCTATACAATTGCGGATCATGCATCATTAAATACGAAACCAAGAAAAAACTAAAAGATTCGCTTCAAGATCGCAATTTGCAAGAGTCATGTGCTTTTTGGTACAATAAGGGTTTGCGCTCTTAGTTTAATGTTCTGATGCACGATTTCTTTTTTAAACACGAATGTATTTTTTCAGTTTTGCTCCATTTATGAGCAGCATCAGGATTCGACTAAAGCCAAGTACTTGTTCTTGAGCAGCAGGGGGCGCCACGTGGCTAGGATAAGCCCTTTTCCTCGCTGATCGTGACCAGGTATTTCCCAAACCAGGCAGCAAACGCCTGGCGCGCGTGCACACACGCAGGAGCTGAAAATAATCTAGTGCTGCTGGAGGAGGAGTGGGCGGCATCAGCGGGGGAAGAGGCGGAGACGACCCTCAGAGTCAGAAAGCGAGGGAATAACCGACTGTACCAGCCCAAATGAGACTGGAGGTAAATCAGTAGTCCTGAAGCACCTGGTGGACCTCGATGGATTTCCTCATTCTTTGGAATGTTTGTGGCATTCTGCACCCAAAAGTCAGGAACGAGTTCCAAATGGTGTTCTGACACGCTTACAGGCTTACTCTGTTATATCCGCGAACCTAAAGTCCACTTGTTGCTTTCAGTGAGGATGTTTTAGTTGGACGAGTGGGTTGGGTCAGTGTGACATCATTATGTCAGCATGACATCACTTACTCATGAAAACGCCCTGGAGCGTAAGGACGGATGACAAGAGTACTAGATTTGGTTCGACCGTTTATGGCCAGGATGAGCCAGATTTTTCAAATTTGAGAAAAGAGATGGAAAACGTGCAGCTCTTAACTAGATCTCTGTCCATCTTTATTAATTTCATCATCACAAAAGTAAACAGCCATACACAACCTCGTTGATTTTAATCAAGTTATCTCTACCTAATTTCTCTCTGCCGCTGAGGCGGCAACTTGGTTTGTGCAGTGCTGCAAAGAGGATGGTCTCCCTTTACTGCGGGGTTTTACCCTAACAGTCGCTGTCCCTGGTGCTGAGCATCCCTGTGATCCAGGGAAGGAACCAGGCTTTCAGGTAGCTGTCCATGGTGCTGATAACATGGACTAGCTCACGACTCTTCAATTAAAATAACCAGTAAAACGTATTTTGAAGTAGCTGCTTTCGCATGCCGGCTTCTCTTCAGGTTGGAGTGGAACAGCAAAAGGCCTAAAGCTATCCTGAATGGTGTTTACATCTCATCTTAGTTGAGTAAGTCAGCTGTGAACATCAAGCAGCTCACATCTTACAGAAACACTTCAGCTGTGGCCAGCTTCTTATTTGGCATCCAGACTTTTCCACCCTCCCTTCTTGGATTCGTGACAGCCTTAACTGCAGCGTCCATGAACTCATTTGGTGTCAGTGGCGGATCGCAGGTCGGAATGCATGTGCAAAAAATAAACCAGTTGTGAAAAGGGAACTTTTTTCTCTCTCTTTCAGAATAATAAAACAGGCTCCACCGTCCACCCCCTCATGTACAATGCTGGGAATAGTAACAGCACTGTTAGGCTGAGCTATAAATAGCAGCCAGTGAGTGTTAACATGTCAGCTTCAGCAGGAGTGCAGGGGAGCGGCTGTAGCACGTGTGGCCGCTGTGGGTGTACAGAGTCTGACTATAGATGTCAACCAGCCCGTTTATTAAACACGAGGGTGGGGTTATTAAAACACAATAAAAAAAACCAAAGATGTCTCCCTTTAAAATCCACAGACTGATGAAAATGCACATTCTTTGTGCATATTGTTCATTTCCCCTGCAATCTCAAGTGAGATGAAAATCATGCCACGTGCATGCCGGTTTTAACCTGAGGATTGGTGGAATTAATCCAGTACCAGACAAAAATCGTGATTCAGCCTCACTGTTCATAAAACACAAGTCATTTGCTGCCTCCTCTGATAGATATTTACACGATTCTGGTGATGAGGGTTTGAAATCTAAAAAACAGAGCTCGTAAGTCTTTCATCCTCGGAGACGTGTGTTTCAATGTGGTAGACTGAGGCTTTTAAACACACACAAGCACGCACTCTTCTCAGCTACTTTATGTAATCTAAATGTCAAATCCAGGCTGACTCTTGGAAGGAGTTGATCCACTCAGCTCCCAAACCTGAAATCCAAGAACCCAGCCCCCCCCCCCCCCCCCCCCCCCCACACACACACACACACACACGTAAATATCCACGCGCACACATGCGACACGCGCCTTATTAGCTAGTTATGATTATGGGCCACAGGCGCTCTATAACAGTGAACTGAGCTGGTAGCTTTTTCCATTCACAGACTCTGTGGGAGGCATTGTGTGAATGAGTGAGTGGGGAAATGATGAATGAATGACTGCTGGAGGTGAGTGAATGAAAAGAAGCAGCGGGAAAAGAAGAATCAGAACATAGAGGGCGCGCTTCGCTGCTGTCCCTCTCAATGGCGTCTCTCCTGCGGCTGCACGCGTAATAAACAGCCATGGAGAACAAACACACGTGTGTGTGTGTGTGTGTGTGGGGGGGGGGGGGGGGGTATCTATAAATAGCACTTTAGTTCTGCTTCCATTGACATCATTTAGAGAGGATGGAAAATTAAATAGGTGGAGGGGAGGGAGAGGATGCACTGGTCCTTAATCAGGGCTCGATTCAAACAAATCCTGGACATTCACCCTCCTTGTACAAAAGGTGTTCTCTTTATTTTGACTTGCGATGGTTCTTTGTTTTTACGCTGGTTTAATTTCAAAACTCATCACAAAAATTATTTTTCTTTTATTGACACACAGCTTCATTTTTGTCAGTTAAAATGATTAAAATGTCATCCAACTTTACTGGTCAAAAGGCATCAAACACAGAAAGTAAATACGTGTTTGATTATTTGGAACAAAGCTTCTTTACCTTCACTTTGAGGCAGAACTCAAGGATCCAGATTGATGGCCCCCAGACTCTGGAACTCTCTCCACCTGAGCCTGAGATCAGTGGACTCAGTGGTCTCCTTTAAAAAGTTTTTGTTTTTGTGAAGCTTCTCGTGATTTTTATATTAAGTGGTGCTATATAAAAGATCGACTTCTTCTTCTTCTAATCACATTTTGTTGAATGAACAACATGTTTAAATCCAAAGTGTGTAAATGATAAATGACCCGCACTTGTATAGCGCCTCTCAGAGTAAGGACTCCAAAGCGCTTTTACACTACAGTGTATCATTCATCCATTCACACACACATTCACACACTGATGGGGATGAGCTACGATGTAGCCACAGCTGCCCTGGGGCGCACTGACAGAGGCGAGGCTGCCGAGCACAGGAGCCACCGGTCCCTCCGACCACCACCAGCAAGCAAGGTGGGTTAAGTGTCTTGCCCAAGGACACAATAGCAGAATTCTCTGTCCGGAGCCGGGATCAAACCTGCAACCTTCCAGTTATTGGACAACTCGCTCAACCTGTTGAGCTACTGCTGTAAGGTGAGTAATGTGTCCAATACTCTAGCTTAATGAATGATGGGTTAACATGAACACTTGATTCATGTAATGATTCATTTCAGATATCAAATTACACCAGTTTAGTGATTGTTGATTTTAATGTTAGTTTATCAGTTTATTCAACATCGCTATGTTATCATTAATGGTTTTAACATTTTTTCTTCACACTAAGAACTAACCTCTCTGAGTATCTGAGGGAAGGAGGGATGTCTGATGTATTTTGGTAATGCCTTTTAACTTGTCAAATTCTGATTTGTATAAATTTGTCAACACTAGTTATTAAAGGCTAGCTCAATTCCTAAGCTAGCCAGTTCTTAGTCGCCTCCCAGTTCGGCTGACCGGGTGAGCAAAGCACTTGGAACCATCCTCTCTTTTGACTCAAGGTCAAAGCCTCTTTGCAACACTTGCAAGTGATATCAGACGCTACAGCTCCTCAGACGTGGAACACCTAACCAGCAGACCCTGGTAGCATCTTATGGCTGGTGATAACTGAATTCAAGGGGAGCTACGACTCTATGAGATTCCAGGAGCCACTTCCTTCCCCCCATGATGTCATCACCAGTCTGGCTGCCTTTCTTCCGGACCACTGAGAGCTGCCTTCCAACACTGGTATCGTAGACCTGCACACTGGCGTGGGATGGCTTTATGAATGATTGATAGCTTGTTACACCATACAGCCAGACTGATTTTACAGACATCACAAGATCTCTCAGATACTTAACAAGGTTTTGCTACATAAGCATCTAAGCTTACATTCCATCATTTCA